TTGGGGTAAGAAAAGCTACTTGATTTTTGATGTGGTTTGATTTTGTAGCCTGCTTCTTTGCTGAATGTGTTTATGAGACTTCTGGTGGAGTTTTTAAGGTCTTTTAAGTACAAGGTCATATCATCTGCAAATAGGGATAATTTGACTTCTTCCCTGTTTGAAACACTTTTATTTCTTTCCCTGCCTTATTTCTTTGGCTAGTAATTCCAGTACTATATTTGGAATTGAGTGGGAGAGTAAATACCCTTTTCTCTTTCCTTTGATTTTAAAATAGTTTCTTTTTTTTCCCATTTAGTTATAATGTTGGCTGTTGGTTTGTCATATATAGCCTTTATGATGTTGAGGTATGTTCTGACTATTCCTAGTTTCTTTAGTACTTTTATCATGAAAAGGTCTTGAATTTTTTTGAAGGCTTTTTTTCTGCATTTGTTGAGATGATCATGTGGTTTTTGTCTTTGATTCTGTTTTTGTTGTTGATTTGCATACATCGACCCATCCTTGCATTCCTGGAATGAAACCTGTTCAGTTATGGTGATGATCTTTTTAATGCTTTGTTGGATTTCAGTTGTATTTTGAGGATTTTTGTTCATCATGGTGAACTTGACCTTACAACTTTATTTTTCTTGATCATCTCGATGGTTTTTAGTAATTAGGGTAATACTGGTTTTGTAGAATGAGTTTCGGTAGTATTCCTTCCGGTTTTATAATTTGGAATAGTTTTGAGGAGCACTTCGGTTTCTTCTTTAAAGTCTGATTAGAACTCAGGAGTTGAATCCATCGATTTTCTGGCTTGTTTTTTTCTTTTACATTGTTTAATCTTATTACTTTCCTTTTAGATCCTGTTATAAAGTTCAATTTTGGTGGATTGTATATGTCGTGAAATTTTATCAGTTTCTTCTTTGATTTTTCCAGTTTGTTGGAGTAACAGTTTCAAAAATATTCTCATCTGCAGTTTTCTGGAATTTCATCGGTGTCTGTTTTAAAAGTGTCCCCTTTCATCTCTTGATTTATTGATTTGCCGTTCTTCTTTTTGGTTCGTTTGGCTAAAGAGTTTGTTTTATCTCTTTAAGATCCTTTTTGTTTTCATTAACCGTTTTATTCATGTCCTTTTTGTCTCCATATTCATGATTTCTTCTTTTTTATTTATCGTTTTTACATTGTATTCATGTGTATACATTGTTTTTGTGTACCCCCTCATTCAGGAAGAACCTGGTCCACCCTCTTGTTCTCCAATTTTGTTGAACAACATCAAGAAAGACAGGTTTTTTGCTAGTTGGATAAAGGTAGCTATACAAAGAGATTCCTAGCATGCTTCCTGCACATGTGTGTTTGGGCAACCCACATTTGGTTCATCCCTACCAGACATCTTCACTACTTCCTGGTCCCTTCCCATAGTGGCCTCTGCCCCAGTTTGAGATTCTGTATTTGTTCCTCTACATGTGCACATAACCACATTCAAGTTTTAGGTTGTCCTTCCCTTTCCCTATTCCTTCCTGTATGTGTTCTTCCCCTTAGTGTGTGACCCATGTCCAGGTTAAATTTACTGCCATTTTGTTTTAGGGTCTGTCCATCCAACATAGGAGGGAAGAACATGATGCATTTTTGGACTTCTGAGACTGGCTAACTTTGCTTAGATTGATGTTCTCCAGTTTCACCATTTTACTTGCGAATGACAAAAATTTCATTCTTTGTGGCTGAATAAAATTCCATTGTGTATAAACCTTATTTTCTTAATCAATTTCATTTGGTAGTGAAGGCATATTGACTGTTTCCAGAGCTTAGCCCTATTGTGAATCGTGTGCAATAAAACATGGGTGTGCAGGTGGCCTGTGGATAACCTGAGTCGCAATCTTTTGGATATATCCCTAGGAATGGGATTGCTGGATCAATATGAGCAGATCTATTTTTTAAGAGCCTTCATATTGTTTTCCAGAAATGGTATGCACTAGCTTTCTTCCCACTAAGCAGCTGATATAAGGTTTTCTTTCCCCTATCCCCTTTCCTCAACCAGCATATGTTGGTGGTTGGTGTTCTTGATAATAGCCATTTCTAACAGGGGTGAAGGGTGGAATCTTAGTATGGTTTTTGGTTTGCATTTTCCTTTATGGCCAGAATGGTGAGTATTTTTTCATGTGTTTTTTGGCCATTGATTTCTTTACTTTGAAAAGTTTCTGTTTAGTTCAGTTGCCCAGTTCTTTATTGTTCATTGATTGTGGGGGGAGTTAATTTTTTGAGCTCCCTGTATATTCTGGTTAGTCAGTCCTTTGTCTAATGTGTAGCCAGCCCAAATATTTTCTCCCATTTGTGTGTGTGGTCTCTTCAGTTTAGAGACCATTTCTTTTGTTGTGCAGGAAGCTTTTTAATTTCATGTAGTCCATTTGGGCCATTCTTTCTCTTTAGTTGTGGGCTTGCTGGATTCTACTAAGGAAGTCCTTTGCCCTATACCTATGTTCCAGAATATTCCCTGCTCTTTCCTGTACCTAACTGCAAGGTTTTGGGTCTGATATTAAGGTCTTTAAGCCACTTTGGGTTGATACTAGTACAGCGGTGGATTAGCATGATCTAGTGTCAGTTTCCTGCAGCCAGATAACCACTTTCCCTTCGCAACGATTGTGAAGAGGCTGTCTTTCTCATCTGTATGTTTCTGGTATCTGCCCTAATTTTTTATAATTTTCCTTCGGTCTATCTACTTTTGGCTTGGTCTTATTTTTCCTAAGAGCTGGAGTACATCATTTCAGGTTTGCTTATTTGAGAATCTCTAATTTTTCTGATACAGCTATAAAAACTACCCTCATTACTGCCTTTTCTGTCTCCCCATGGATTTCTGGTAAGTTTGTGTTTCATTTGAATTTAGGAATTTCTTTAATTGTTCAGTGATGCATTGGTCATTCATTAAGTTTGTTGGCTCAGTTTCCATGAGCTTGAAGTGGTTTTGTGGTGTTTTCCTTGCCACTGATTTCTATTTATTTCCATTCTGGTCTGTTTAGGATACAGGGATTATTTTGATTTTTTTTGCATTTGTTTGAAGATTTGCTTTTGTGCCTATTTGGAGAAGAAATTCCATGGGCTGCTGAGGAAAAATGTGTAATCTTCTTGCCATTGGTTGTAATACTCTGGTAAGGAGTCTATTAGTTTCATTTTGTTCCATGGTATTGTTCATTTCCAGAATATCTTTTGTTAATTTTTATTGTTCTGATGTTTCTGTCTATTGGTGAGAGGTGGGATTTGTGAAGATCTCCCACTGTTACGGTACCTTTATGTTCAGAAATCACACCCTCATTTTAGTTTACAAATATCTTTGTTCCTTCAGGTCTCAGGCGTAGGCTTGTGGCCTTTCCTGGAAACCTTTTCAGAGCCTTCACTAAGCATTGTTTGGGTCTTTCTTTAGTTTCTGTTTGGTAGTATGCTGTTTTGGGGCTGGAATAAGTTTTACGTTGCAGGGTTAGAGTCCTGTTTCTTTGTAGTGGATGTTTATAGTATTCTAAAGCCTCTAATCACCAGTTGTCAGTAGTAGTGTCACCTCTGATCTGACATCTAGATTGTCTGTAATCATTGCTAATGTCCCTAAGTGGCAAAGTCACTCTCAGTTTGAGAAACCTCTAAATTATAGCTGTATCAAACATTATTGTAATTTACTGGATTTTTCTGCTATGTTTGGTTTCAGTAGAATATAGTTCCTTTTTATTTTCGCATTCGAATCAAAAAAGCCTGACGGTATAATCAATAAATATTTGTGAATGGATTTGAACATACTTTCGATCACAATTCTCAGAGATACTCTTATGGACATAACAAAGCCCATTTAAAATGGGGACTTGACGTTAATATATTCTCTTCCCTTCCCCTTCGTCTGCCACTGAGGAAAAATGAACTCTGCCTCTTGCTGCAAGGTGTTCTATGGAGCACACCCCTCAGTCCTTGAGTTCATTTATTAATGTAAGTATAAAGCTTCTGGAAGCAGGTTCTCAAAGAAAATATACCTGATGTCTTCTTTTTAGTGGTTTTTATACAGATACACAAGTAATAGTTCCTAGTGTCTCTTTTTATATTTGATTTCTTGATTTGTCTGTTCTTTATTACTTGTTATGCTAGGATTTGGTTTGGAATTTAACATGATTTTAAAGTTTGAGTTCAGAATTAAAAGTGAGAGAAATAAAAATTGTTGAAGTAGAATACACAGTGGTCAATGCAGAATGGTATATCCTAACATTTTATGGTGGTGGGAGTGGTTCTGTTGGGGGTGGTAACTGCTGCTCTGAGAAACTCCTGGTGTAATGACCCCCAGTTGTAGGTTTTGTAGCGTAGCCCCTCCCTGGACTTTTTACCTTTTTGTGTAGCTCTAGTGGGCAGGTGCTAATGATATTCCTGTGATACTGGGCATTAGCTTTTCCCAAGGCTGAGATTTACTAGTAGTAATTGAGGAATTAAGATGGTGAGAGTCTTTGAATTTGGCTCTAAATTTGATAATCTTTTCCATCACCACTCCTGTTGAGATTTTTGAGAGAAACAGGAGGACCTCTTGTTTCCTTATCTTTTTATCATCCCTCTGCCACGGCAGTGCCTGTGTACTTAGTTCATCTATCACTACGTTCTTTCAGATTTCAAATCCAGTTGTTTTTGTGATTGCCACTGCTAATTGGCCAGGTGTAAGCTATTGTTATATCTCTAGTCTGGACTATAGCGGTAGCCTTCTTACTAGTCCTCCTGCCGCCAATATTATCCCCCTCCAATCAGTTTTCAACACAGTAGCTAGAATGAGTTATTTAAAAATGTTGTTTAGGTCATGACATTTTGCTGTGTTAGAAAAGCACTCTGTGGGCTGAGGGTATAGTTCAGTGGTAGAGCATTTGCTTAGCACGTGCAAGGTCCTGGGTTCAATTCACAGCACCAAAAAGAAAAAGGAAACTACTCTGGTTTATGGTGTCAAATAATTTATCTCTAAATGGTGTTAGTTCCTGAACTAATTTTGATTCAAAATAGTGTGCTGCTTCTTTTTTCAGGAGGAACAGTACAACATGCTAGGCTCTGGATTTAAAGCTGAGCGTTTGCGAGTCAATTTGAGATTAGTCATAAATCGACTTAAACTATTGGAGAAAAAAAAGAGTGAGTAGTGCATGATTATTTTACCATTTCTTTCCATAAATACATCAGCAGGTGCCAGCACAGTGATACTGGATCTGTCAGGCCAGTAATGTGAAGTCTCAGGGATCTCAGTTTAGAATGCATTGCTGCCTTTTTTTGGGGGCGGGGGCAGTACTAGAGATTGAACCAAGGGCCTCATTCGTGGTAGGCAGACATTCTGCCACTTGAGCTATGCCCTAGCATTTCTCCCTTTTGTGACTAGACTGAATCATTTTGTTGCAGGGAAAGGGACATACTGTATTCGTGGGTTCTGCATTTGTGGATTCAGCCAACTGCACATCAAAAATATTAAGAGAAAATAAATTACATCTATATTGAACACATGTAGACTTTTTTTCCTTGTAATTATTCCCAAAGTAATACATTGTAATAACTGTTTACATGGTATTTACACTTCATTACGGATTATATGTAATCTAGAATAAATAAGTATACTGGAGGGTGTGCATAGGATCTCTGTGTGTTGTAAGGACTTGAGCCTCCTGATTTTTGTATCCGTGGGGTGTTCATAGCACTAGTCCCACGTGGATTCCGAGTGACGACTGCTCTGTTGCTGTAGAATAGGAAAGCTGACTTCTGAATTGGAAATGTCAGCCTATACTATATTCTCACCTCACAGAGCAGCAAATTCTAGAGTAGTTGAGAGGGGAGATTTGCTAAGGGATTAACGTGAGCTAGGATATAGTAGAAACCCCTAGTTCTTTCTGTTGGGGTGGAGGTCTTCCCACAGGCTAGGTCCCAGTGTACTACTGCGGTGTGACTGGAGTGGGGTTTGTGTCTTAGCGGAACTGGCCCAGAAAGCAAGGAAGGAGATTGCTGACTATCTTGCTGCTGGGAAGGATGAGCGAGCACGGATTCGTGTGGAGCACATTATCCGGGAAGACTACCTCGTGGAGGCCATGGAGATCCTGGAGCTGTACTGTGACCTGCTGCTGGCTCGGTTTGGCCTCATCCAGTCAATGAAGTAAGATACTTAGATTCAAAGAGCCAAATCACCTCTGGAATTTGAGAGTGGAGTAATACTGACGTCTTTGTACATGTACATGGGGGGAATTAGCACTGAAGGGCTATTTCACATACCTGGTCTTTTTCCTGCTAGTCATTTAAAGGAGTGATCTCAATGTTGATAGAAAATAAAGAATCTGAAATCGAGAGGCCTAAGTTTGAGTCTTGGCCTCAATGGCCAAGTCTCAAGGCCTAATGTCTGTAATGGTTCAGACATTACCTGACTTTGTGGACTTTGGCTCATTACTTAGAGTTTCCCTGAAAGTAAAATAAAGTAACAGTGAAATGGCTAGAAGCCTAGAGTTATTACAGATTCCAATGATGTTTGTGAAATAGCTTTAAAGGCTAAAGTATATGACATAAAAGCTAGGGTTTGTTTTAAAGAATGTTAAATTTTATTAATTTTTTCCCTTGATTAGGGAGCTTGATTCTGGTTTAGCTGAATCTGTGTCTACCCTGATCTGGGCTGCTCCTCGGCTACAGTCAGAAGTGGCTGAGTTGAAAATAGTAAGTATGACCAATTTCAGTGATGTCTGTAGTTTTTCATACTGTTAGAAAGGCTGGTTAGTATGTCACTTCTGTTTATTTGACAGTTTATTTTTGTACCCTTCTTTAGCTGCTTTTGAAATACGATTTGTAGATTTGTTCCTTTTCAGACACTATACAGTAGAATAGTGTGTAAATATTTATTTATTTACTTACTTATTTTTGGTGGTACTGGGGTATGAACTCAGGGCCTTACACTTGCCAGATCGGCACTTTATCACTTGAGCCATGCCCCAGTCCTTTTTGCTCTGGTTATTTTTAAGATAGGTCAGGCCGGGCATAAACACACAACCCCATTTATACTTCCCAAGTAGCTGGCATGACAAGTGTGTACCACCACATCTGGCTTTTTATTGGTTGAGATGGGGTCTTGGGAACTTGTTGCCCAAGCTGGCCTTGATTCTTGACCCTCTTTCTCCACTTCTCAAGTAGATAGGATTGTAGGTGTGAACCACTACGTACAATTAAATTAGATTTTTTTTTTAAGAAGCCAAGTTTTATGTACATCCAGTTTTGTATTAAATTATTGAGCTTTGGATGGGCACCGGTGGCTCACACCTGTAATCCTAGCTACTCAGGAGGCAGAGATCAGGAGGATCATGGTTTGAAGCCAGCCAAAGCAAATAGTTCTCGAGACCCTGTCTCAAAAAACCTTTCACAAAAATAGGGCTGGTGGAGTGGCTCAAGGTGAAGGCCCTGAGTTCAAGCCCTAGTACCGCAAAAATGAATGAATAAATAAATAAATAATTGAGCTGAGCTAGGCATGGTGGTACACATCTGTAATCCCAGCACTTGGGAGAGTGAAGCAAGAGAATCATCAATTTGAGACCAGCCTGGGATACATACTGAGACCCCGTCTCAAAAAAAAAAAAAAAATTGTTGTTTAACCTTATACAAGTAAAAAGTTTTTTTTTGTGTGTGTGGTGCTGGGGATCAAACCCAGGACCTTGTGCTTGGTAGGCAGGTGCCCAACTTCAGAGCTATACCCCAGCCCCCAGAAAAGTTCCTATATAACTACACCAGATTAAAACAACTTAATTCAAGGGAAGACATCCTTAGATAACCCCTTGCTTATATCATTATTCTTACAATAGAGACAAAACTTTGTGATATGACCTACATCACCCTCCTTGTCTGACTCCTATCTGCCTTCTTTCCTTGGGCTTTGCACATGTTTTCTTTTCCTAGAGTGATCTCCTTTCTTGTTTAGTTGACTTCTAAATGTAGGCAATGCATTCCTTCAGGCAGCCGCACCTGGCTCTGCTAACATCTGATTTTCCTGTTAGAAGCAGGTTGTGCCTTCTGTTGGTAACACTTAATACAGCTGTGGTTGTACTTTTGTGATTATTTGATGAATGACTGTTTTGCTCAGAGACTGAGATTCAGGAACAGTGTCTGGTTTTGGTCATCATTGTCTTTATAGTGCATATCATTATGCTTATATTTTTGCTCTTAGCCAAAAGGCTGAGAAGTAATTCATATTACTTATAATAGCATTTGGCATTTGCTGCCCACTGAATGGTTAGATAAACTAATGTGTACTTAAGGTTTTATAGACCTCAGTTTTTTGAAAATCCTGTAATAGCATGTTTGCTGTTGAAAGGAGGAAGCTTGAAGACATTTATGGGAGTGATTTAATTTACTGTCCTTTTTTTCTCTGTAGGTTGCTGATCAGCTCTGTGCCAAGTATAGCAAGGAATATGGCAAGTTATGTAGGACCAACCAGATTGGAACTGTAAATGACAGGGTAATGAACATACCTGGTAAATGTGAAGCAGTATGCGTGGTGGGAGCAGGTTTTATTGCCAGCAGTGATTTGGGTGGTGCCATTGCATGGCTGGTTAGTGGACGGTTGCACATTTCATAAAGTGAGGGCAAGAAGAAGCTTGTGGGACTGGCAATCCAGTGAGCTGTTCCCCTGCCGGATACCTCTAGCTGTCCTTCCTGCCTCCCTTCCTTACCCTCACTTCCTTTGTGCCCATTGTGAGTTATGTAAGCAGGAAATGAGATGGGGTGACGGAGTGGATGGATTGAAATGTGCAAGGCAGTAGTGTTCCTCTTTCATCAATACGTGAGAAAAATACGGGTTCTATAATGTGCCTTATAAGACTGAAAAAATCATTTAACTTTGTAAATGAGAGGTTAGGATTAGGCTGGATATACAGACATATCTTAACGATGGGCCTTTTACTTACAGCTCATGCACAAACTGAGCGTGGAAGCCCCACCCAAAATCCTAGTGGAGAGATACCTGATCGAAATTGCCAAGAATTATAATGTACCCTATGAACCTGACTCTGTGGTCATGGTAAGTTTATCCCAGAACACAGAGGAAAATGACTCTGTAGGTGGGATTTTCTTTGAAAAAAATAACCATATTCTTTGCATTAACCTTAGTAGGTGTGTGAGTTTAGTGCCTATTTGGGTAACTATAATATGGCTGTATGTCTCATAAGGTCCTTAAGGATCAGATAAGGTGATTGACTGAAAACACTTTTGAGAAGACAAAAACCTTACAAATGTATAATGGCATTAATTATTTTTTTTTTCTTGTATTCCTATGTGCATACAATGTTTGGGTCATTTCTCCCCCCTTGGCATTAATTATTGCTGGGTTTTTTTTTTTTTTTTTTTTTTTTTTTTTTAGTGAACTTGAAGGAATTGAGAATCTCCCGGTGAATAGTAAGAAATACCCCAAGACCTAACCAGTTCCTCATTTATTCTACCCATCATGTGCCAGATAGTATGTAGGAAGCTGAGAATACAGAGATACATAAATCTCTATCCTGAGAGGCTTACAGTGTAGGATAAGGAGGATTTTGCAAATAACAGTTAAGGTTAGTGGGGTGTGGGAGAAGCTCTGGCATGCGCTTAGACCACTAACACTAACACACACATTAGGAAAGAAGTGGTTATTCTACCAGATCTTAAGAGTTTGATAACTGGTAGCTTGCACATGTTAATCTCCATCTCAGAGTCTGCTTCCTGGGACACCTGACCTTGAACACGGGTTAGTGATTATGGGTTTCTCTCTCTTTTTCTTAGGCAGAGGCTCCTCCTGGGGTAGAGGCAGATCTTATTGATGTTGGATTCACAGATGATGTGAAGAAAGGTGGCCCTGGAAGAGGAGGAGGAGGGGGTGGGTTCGCAGCACCTGTTGGTGGACCTGATGGAACAGTGCCAGTGCCCATGCCCATGCCTATGCCCATGCCGTCGCCAAACACTCCTTTCTCATACCCTCTGCCAAAGGGACCGGTAAGCATGTGTGCATAAAAACCTGCGATGTTAAGTTTAGAAACCAGTACAGAGGATGGAAGACAGACTTTACACACACACTCAGGAATTGTAAGCTGTCAGGAGAATACAGCAGTAAGGACGTTTGGTGTTAGCTTAGTGATTGCATTGTGGAAAAAGTATCATTGGGATTCAGAGAATGTCTCTTGGTTCTGCTGTAGGTAATAAAGCGGAAAAATACAGAATCAGTGCTAGGAAAAGCCTTTTTAGATTGGCTTACTGAGTGTCTGTGGGACTTGTTGCCATTAGGCTAGTAGTTTTGTTTTTTCTAGTAATAAATGGAATAGTAACCATTTACTACTAGACTGAAAAAACCTTTTTTGACAAGATGATATAGGTCATTGCTGGTAAGAATGTCTGATGAGAATTTTCACTTGTAGACAGACATTGAAGCAGTTGATTTAGTAATTTGAAGAGTAGCCTTTGGCTGTAAGACTAGAAATCTGGAGTCTTTCTAACTACACATAGTCCTTTTGAGTCTTTTTTTCTTCTTTGGGGAATCTTAAGTACACATATCACCTATTTCTTCTCTTCCCATACACAAATCTCAGAAGTACCAGATTGGGAGCCATGTTTCTAATTTCTTTTTTTCTCTTGCAGTCAGATTTCAATGGATTGCCAGTGGGGACTTACCAGGCCTTTCCTAATATTCACCCACCTCAGATACCAGCTACTCCCCCATCGTATGAATCTGTAAGTGCCTGAGCCTCTTTTATAAGCAACAGGAGGTGAATCCCATGAAGAGAGCAAACTAATGACCACAGGGAAGGCAAAGTTTTGATCATCTCTTAGTACTGGCATTGCTTTGGGATTCTTGTGTTGCTTTAACACTGCTCTGGAGATGGGGAGTGGTGGTGGTGATGTTGATGGTGGGAATGCTTTGTCTGCAGTGAAGCCAGGAATCAGGAAGAAGCCCCAGCTCTCTTAGAAAGTTACAGTGCCCTACTATGGCACTTACCCAGTTATATTTGACTAGTTAAGTAAAGAATCACATTGAGCTGTTAACAGTCTTGGTGTTAGAAATTTAGATTGTTTTCTGTCAGCCTTGTTTCCTTGGTATATGTCTTTTGACACTTTTTTCCATCTGATATATTACTGAGAAAAAAATCAGTATGGCATTTGCTATATATATTATTCATCTAGAAAGCTCTCCCTGTTCCTGAGTTGACTTGTTCTATTGGTTTTTCTCTAGCTGATGTGTTTCCTCTGGGACCTGAGTTTTCACATGCTTTAGTCTTGCATGCATCAAAGCATGACCTAGAACGATTTCTAGGAATGAGGTGGAACTTCAGCCATATATGAGGACTTGGTTCTTGTAGGTGTATTCAGTAGTTACTGCTTTGTCTTTGCCAGAAAGGTAGAAAAAAAGTGGTTATGGTTAAGAAGTGGTAAGAAGTTTTTCTCTGCTTGGCAGTTCAGAGTTCGATGTGGTATCTGTGGCAGGAAGAAATGTAGGGAGCAGAGGGCATTTTCTTTGGGACAGGTTCTGTTGCTTTTGGTAAACAGTTTAGCTTTGAAAAACACAGTGGCTGGCAGCAGTGTTGGTACTTTCTCTAGAGTTGCCATTGCTTTTTCCTGTAGTAACAATCTTTGTGTTGCAGGTTGATGACATTAATGCTGATAAGAATGTCTCTTCTGCACAGATTGTTGGTGAGTGTGAGTCACAAACCTTCAAGGCTTGGTGTTAAACCTTCTGCTGTTCTCATTATTCCTCCCTCAGAGTCTGTCCATGTCCATGGCATTCTACCCTGTCCTCTCCCCACATGTAATGTTTCTTGCTTTGAATCACACTTGATTTTTGCCAGCCCTTCTCTGCCCCATCTTCCTTGTTCTCAGTTTCTGTCAGTGCTGTAACTGTGCTTTCTTACTTTTTTTTTTTTTTTGGCAGTACTGGGGCCCCTCTGAGATCCCTTTTTGTGATGGGTATTTTTAAGATAGGGTCTCAGGCACTATTTGCCCAGGCTGTCTTTGAACCATTATCCTCCTGATCTCTGCTTCCTGAGGAGCTAGGATTACAAGCGTGAGCTACCAGCGCCCAGCCCTCAAATTCTTTAAAGAACAAAATAGTACCAACACCCCAAAAACCCAGGGGTATACTTTTAGAGACATTTTGAGGTAATTTACATTTAAAAACAGATAGACTTTAAGTGTACAATTTGAGTTTTTATATATGCACACACCTATCACTCCAGTCAAAGTAGAGAACACTTCCATAACACCTGAAAGTTATCAGGTTCCTTTCTAGTCAACTCTACTGCAGGCAAACTCTTTGGATTTACTACAATTTGGTTTTGCCTATTCTAGAACTTAAGGGGAGGAGTTTAACGTAAAACGAGACCAAGTGTATGGTGGTGTACACCTGTAATCTCAGCACATGGGAGGTAGAGGTAGGAGAATCATGAGTTTGAACTCCATGATAAAACTAAGAGCTAAAGCTTAGTGGTAGAGCACTTGCCTAGCATGTACAAGTCCCTGGGTTCTGTTTCAAGCACTGCAAAACAAAACAAACAAAAAACCACAGCATCAGTAGTCCTTTAAAGGAAGCATTATTTGTTTTAGTAGAATTGTAGTACTACTTTTCTGACTTGGTTGTTAAGGAGCCAAGCTTTGTGACAGTGTGTGATAGTCTGTTTAAATGAATGAACTGTGGACCTGGCCCCAAGCACAACACTTTGACTTCCCTTAAGCTTTTTCTCACCATAGGAAAGTCAGATAGAATTCATCTGTAATTAGAAAATGTAAACATTAACTGTTCTGAGGATTTTTATTAACCTTTTTGATTGAATATTTTGGTGGGGAGAAGAGCAATCTTTAGGGTGAACTCAAGGACTCACACTTGTTAGGCAAGTACTCTACCACTTGAGCCATGCCTCTGGTTCTTTTTGTTTTATTTTTCAGATAGGGTTTGTGCCTTTTTTTCCCTTCCCGCCCCTTGTGTCCCCATTCACAATACAGACTGGACCGCAGGACCTAGGCTGAGGTGTATATGGAATTGGTTTATTTTGCCTCCTCTTTCTATACAGTCTATGTAAGAACACACCCTGTGGTCAGCACCAGAAGGCTGGGTCTTGTAATTTTTGGTGGGTTTGGCCTCACACCATTATCTTCCCATCTCTGCCTCCTGCGTAGCTGGGATTATATCATATCTGGTGCTATATAAATTTTTTTTTTTTTTTTTTTGTGGTACTGGGGGTTGAACTCAGGGCCTCATACTTGTTAGGCAGATGCTCTACCACCTGAGCCACTCCAGCATCCCTGTTTTTGCACTGGGTATTTTTGAGATAGTGTCTCATGATCTATTAGACCTAGGCTAGTGATCCTTCTCTGAGTAGTAGCTACGATTACAGGTATGAACCACTGGCACCCGGCTTTGAATGTTATTTTTTTTTTAAAGTAGTGTTTTCTTCTGCCAAAAATGATCATATGGCTTTTTTTTTGGTGAAAGGAAATCTGAGTCATTTCTCTTCTGTTTGTAACATTGTACCCCTTGCCCTAATTTAATTAGGTCCTGGATCCAAGCCAGAAGCTTCTGGGAAGCCCCCTTCCAGACCCGCAGATAACTTTAACTTTGTACTGCCAGAGTTGCCATCTGTGCCAGATACACTACCAACTGCATCTGCTGGAGCCAGCACCTCAGCATCTGAAGACATAGACTTTGATGATCTTTCCCGGAGATTTGAGGAGCTAAAAAAGAAAACATAGGCTTATTCCAGGCAACCTCAAGCTTCCTGGAGTTGAGACTCAGCAATTTTTCCTTGCAACAACGAATCTCCATGAAATTCCATTTCACTAATTAACTGTCACTGAGCACACTCTTCCTTGGGGCTCTCTTCCTGCTCTACCAAATTCTGTTGCTTTCCAGTTCTTCGGTGACACTAAGAGACTAACAACTGGAGACTCGGCAGCCAGAGCACCTGGCTCTTAGCACCTCTGCCTGTCAGTGTCTTCCCCGGGAGAGAGATGAAGCACATGGGAGAGCACCTCATGGACTGTCTTACCCTTGTGTTGAGGTTCCAGACTTGGAAACAAACCTCTCTGCACATTGAGATTGAGAATCAAGGCCATGGTGTGCTTTCTCACATTGTGAGAAAATGGTTCAGGAAGCCACCATCACGGTTCCTGGAAGCTGCGCCGTCTTGTTGGCATGTACACTCTAACTGCAGGGCACAGTTCCACCTGGATCCAGTTGCAGAGTTGGAGGCCTCTCTTAGTTCTGCTGGATTCTCAGGGAGCCCTTTGTGGCCTTTTGCTTTATTTTGAGTGCTTTGTTCCTTTTTAGCAGAGGGCAGCACTATAGAAATTTGTTTTTCCCATAGCATGCTACTAGCAGAGGAAGGACAGGTCACATATTGGGCAGAAGTCACCATTCAAGCACAGGGTGGGCTTCCAGCTGCCTTAATAGAAGTGCTCAAGTCTCTTGGGTAGTGAGCTGGAAAGCCTACGGAAGAGGGTATGTGTTTTCATTTGAAAACTTAAAACAATCTGATCTCAACTTTTTCGTGCCCATGTGGCTGTTGTTCACTGCTTTCCTGGGTGGATGAGACTTGTAACTTATAATTTCTGTGCTTCTCTGTCCCCTAATGAAGGCCATCCTTCCCCACAGGGTTGGCTTTGGGACTCAAAGATACAAGTTTTGCTTCTTTGCTTTGTAGTGTCTTTGTATATACTTGTTTCAAGCAACTTTTCTTTAATGATGGGTTTGTATTTCATAGATCAGTAGCTGCTAATAAAGTTAAAGGTCCTGTGTCCTGCTTTTTCCATGGCTGGTCAAATGATAATGTGTGAGTTTGATTTTAGTGGACAATATTTTAAGCACATGATTCACATTGATGCCAGAGACAGCCTTCACCTTAGGTTTCCTCAGTTACACAGATGGGAAAAATTTCCATCACTATATCTGAGCCCAGATAGCCTCTGTGAGATTGCTTAGTTACTCCTTTGTGGCAGAGGCTCTCAGCCAAGCCTGGTGCATGTGTATCTGTTTTCATTAAGTCATAGTGAGTTCATTTATGATTAATTTCCCACAGCCATCCCGGGACATAGGTAACCAGTATTCTATTACTTGCTTTTTGGCAACAAAACTGGCTTATGCTATATTATTCTTCCAGTGTTCCCTTTCTGACAGTGCCTGGAGCCACAAGCAAGAAAATCCTCACTCACTCACAGAATTAAGAAAAAAAGCACATGTATGTGTCATTTTCTAAGCTGTGCCATGCAAAAACCAGTAATGATAAGCTAAAGTAATTACAGGTATTTATGAGGTGCACCTGACTTCGCAAGGCAGCTCATCTTCTAAGATTTCAGTCAGTACCCATTGTTGTCAGGACTTCTTTTCAGATGAGGGGTTCTGGTGCTGTCTGATTCCTAACAGATTTGAAAGCTTCTGTAGCAGCATATCTGTCAGTGTAGCTTCTTTCTGAGTATCCGAACACAAAAGGAGAAAATTGAAATTGTTGTGAATGTTACTGTTAGTAGTAAGGATACTGTGTTTTCAGTGATTTGCTGTAAAATGGGGGGTGTCTCTGCTACCTGATGCTTGAGTGGCAGCTATTTATTTGTGGTGCAGTGGCTGTGGAACATAAAGTCTTAGCAAATTGGGTTTTCTAGGGAAATAATTGGCAGAATTGAGACTACAAAGGGAATGTGCTGATACTTGCATTATGTCAGTGTGTAGTTTGTAGGTGGGGGGTATTTAACCTGTGTATCCCAGGTTGGCCTTGAAAGCTAGATCCTCCTGTCTCAGGCTGAGTCCTGGGTTTACAGGTATGTGCCACTGTGCCTAGTTGTAATCTAAAGCAATTACAGTTAAGCTTTTCAATGTGTCATGATAATTGTTTTTCAGTTACTGAGCTGCAATTACTTACCTGAAGAGACTTTCTTTCTTTTCCAAAGGCAATGAGAATGGCAGAAACAAAAAGATTAATGATCACAAGTACCATCAAGATGACATTGGTGATGATCAGAAAGGAGCCCAGGACTGGGTATAAAGCAATAACCTGAGAAGACAGTAAGACCACTTTGGATTATAGACAGTTGAGATTCTACTTCAAGGAGAGAGGCAGAAATAATTTTTAAAAATACTTTTAAGTGGACATGAGTAAGAATAAGAATATTAAGATTTGACTTCACAGCTTTTATAAGAAGAAAACAAGTGAGTTGTAGAGGAATTGTTAATGACCTAAATCCCATGTGAATTTCGGCAATTCTGGAAAATAAACCTAAACATGGAAACCTCTGTGGGTACCAAATGAAAATGGAAAAAAAAAAAATCTATACCAGAAGTCATAAAACCAGTCCCTGCTATCTAAAAAGCTCCTCCTCTAAACACAGGAGTGTTGCAATAAAAAGAGCTGGGCACTGGTGACTCAGGCCTATAATCCCAGCTTCTTAGGAGGCAGAGAGTAGAAGGCTTGAGGTTCGAAGCCAGCTCAGCCAAATAGTTCGAGAGTTTCTATCTTGGAAAAAAAAAAAATCACAAAGTACTGGCGGAGTGGCTCAAGGTGTAGGCCCTGAGTTCAAACCCTCAGTATCACAAAAAAAAAAAATTCTTTTGACTTGGGTGTAGCCCATTGGTAGAACATTTACTGAGCATGTGCAAGGCCCTGGGATTCAGTGGGGGGGGGGGCAGGTAATCAAGAAACTGGTTTTTATGTTCATTTGTTTCCCCCATTGTCTTGTCACTTTAAAAAATAATATAAATAATGAGTCGCATCCTTTTCTGCAGAAGGAGATTTTTTAAAATACAAATTCAGGTTCTATAACAATTTTTTTTTGTTGTTTTTTTGAGACAGCATCTAGCTCTGTAACTCAGGCTGGCTTTGAACTCATGATCCTCCTTTTTCAGCCTCTCAAGAGCACCACCAGGCCCAGCTTATAACAATATTTCTTTTAAGGTGTTCATTTTAACAAGTGATTTTTATTTTTCCTTGGTGTGTTGGTAATTCATTGTTGCTGCTAGGGCACTGCTTTAAACCCAATAACCCACAGGATGATTAGACATTTTCCTAGTAAGTTTACCCTGTTTTCCCTTCCGTGTTAGACAATTATGTTGAAAGTAGAAAAAGTGGTTTTTTTTTAAAGTAAAAAAGTAGACATTGCAGGGTGCCAGTGTCCCATCCTAGCTACTCAGGAGGCAGAGATCAGGAGAACTGTGGTTCAAAGCCAGCCCAGGCAAATAGTTCATAAGACCCTATCTCAAAAATACTCAACACAAAAAAAGGGCTGGTGGGCTGGCTCAGGTGGTAGAGTGCTTGCCTAGCAAGTGTGAGACCCTGAATTCAAACCCCAGTACCACCAAAAAAATAAAAAGTAGATGTTAGCAAAGTCTTTTTCTTATTGTCAGTTCCTTTACAATTTTAAAGAATACAAAATGCTCCAGAGGTAAGGGCTTCATCTATAATGATTAGTGCTAAACTGGAACAAAATTTTACAGCCAAAATAGCAGATTCTTTCTTGAAGGTGGTAACTTTACACACAAGAACCTCCTATTTTCATTAGTTACTTAAAAAAACAACAAAAAGGCCTCAGGATATAGCACTTTGCGCTTTACCACTCTAGCCACATCTCCAGCATGTTTTTGCCTGAGGTTCTTTTTCAGATAGGGCCTCAAGTGTTTGCCCAGGACTGGTCTGGGACCATGATCCTCCTGCTTCCACTGCCTCCCAAGTAGCTGGGATAACAGGTATGTACCACCCTGCCCGGCCCCTAATTCAGTAACTTCAGAATTCTAAACTAATGGAACAATTAACTGTGCTCCAGTTCTTGCCAATTTCATGAATTGGAGCATTTGCCTTCCTGATAAAATACACCCTTCAATATTTGGGGCTCAAATCCCAGCTGAGTTTCCTACTTTACTCCTCCACTCACTTAAATTGACATAAAAGCTGTGCTTGTTCATGGGTGCCATGTGACGCTTTGATTCATGCATACCTTGTATAATAAACCTATTTCTCATTTCTTTGGGGTGAACCTCCTTTGTCTTCTATGCTAAATAGGAAGACGGGGATTTGTGTGTGTACCTCCTGGGGGAACTAATAACTCACTGAAATGAGTAGTAGCTATCAACAGAACTAACGCAGTTGTTACTGGAACTATTTCCTAATGCCCTTCCCTCCTTTCATACAGTGTCAAATGGTCATTGAGAAAGCAGCAGCAACTCTTGTAATTCTGGTCAGGTAGGAACACAAGTTTAGGTTCAAAGTCCTGCAGCAGTAAGATTAAGGATACAAGAAGTGAGAAAGGAGGAGGGCAGATTTCTGAAAGCAAAAGCCAATCAAAAGTGCTGTGTGCAGGCGGTACTGTGAAAGACATGAAAGGTACATGCTCCTTTCCAGTCTGTCCTGGGAGACTACTATTGTAAGCAGTTCCCCTCCCCCTTGTTAAGTCTGTTACGCCAAGTGAGATTCTGTAGAGAAACTAGGAATTTTTTTTTTTCTTACCTCCTTGTGAGGAGAAATTCCCATTAGGAGGCCAACAACAGCCACGGTAGAGCTGCAGAAAGTTCGGTAGTCAGAGATGCTCCATCCAAACAGCACATTAAACTGAGGAGGAGAAGACCAGTCAGTGGGAGCAAACTGAGTTCTTTCTGTCCTTAGGTACTTGATACAGCCAATATGGTCCCCATTTTAGAGACAGGAGACAAGCATCTGGTTTAAATTGTACTAGGTACCTTTTCTCCAAAACTCATTGCCAGCTTGAACTGGTAGAAGAGAAATGATTTCAAAGCCAAGGCATTTAAGGACAGAGGCACTGGACATGGGGCTTACAGTCATTGCGTATCCGCTCAGCAGGACAAGGATGATCAGCAGAAAGCCCACCACCTCATCCCAGTCTTTGCTCAGGGTTTTGCTGATGACTTGCAACCTGGGGTTATGTTGCAGCAGGTCCCATAGCTGAACAGTTGCCAACAGAACCAGGAAGCCCACAAGGTGAGTGACAGCAGAGTTTACATTTATTGCCTCATAGAAGCTGATGAATCTGTTCCCAAAGAAAGCAGCAGTTAGGCCTGGAAGCATGTGCCATCAGTTCCCACTAGGGTGTGTTCTCCAGTACTCCCAGTGCTGAAGGGCAGCAGCTTTGAGCCCCATCAGCTCAGACACTTGGTGATGAGGCTTTCTAGTGCAGCCTCCCAGACTTGGGGATATGAGGACACTAGAAGGGGCCACTTTCTTGGTTTGGAGCTATGTTGAAGAAACCTTGCGATGTAACCCCCTAGCTGATTTTTTTTTTTTACTGGAGATCAAGACCAGCTCACTCTCCTCAAAAGGAGAAGAGTAACTGAGTTGACTTTGCCATCATCATGGAAGTCTGTTTTCCCTGGGACTCTAATCCTGATCATTTTTTGTCAGTAGATGGATGATGTAGTAAATTTCATACTGCTGACATTAGAAAGATGAGTGGATGAACTGGAGGGGAAGGGTGTTGTTCAGCAGTTAGGTCTTGTTATGTAAGAGATCCATTTGTAACTTCAGCGACTGTGTTTTGGGAAGGCCCCCATAGGCGTCAGCAAGTTGGCACTCGGTCACAAGCCTAAGACCTCGTCAGTGCCACACAGCAGGCTGGAACCCACCTGCCATCGCCCTTCAGGCTGCAGACTCGGTATCCCTGCAAAAACAGGGACCCTGCCTTGGAGAAGGTCTGTACTTGGCTTAAGAAACGTGCTCTTCCCGTGAGAAAGAAAAGACCAGGCCGCAGAGGGCAGTGGACATCTGGTGGCATGGTGAATGAAGACCATTCTTACCCTCTGGGCGAGTTTGAAATGATTGTCCTGCCTTAGGCTTTGTGCACTGGGGGTAATGACAATTCCAGGCCTTGCTCTGTGAAATTTGAATGAATTAGCTCTGATTAGCACATGCCTACGCACTGTGAAAACAGAGGTGCTTTTCAACTCTTACCCCTTTCTCTGCTGTGGACACCAGCCCAAGTTCTGTTTTAACTCTGATTCTATACAAATACAGATCTGGAAGGGCAGTGTGAAAGAGCACAGAAACAGGACACGAGGTGGGGATGGCCGGGGCTCCTCAGGCTCACGCTTACCTTTCGTGGTCACGGCGGTATTGTGCCAAGTTCTCCTCATGTAGAGACCTGCGCCTCAGGTCAAGCCCCAAGATGCTGAAGCTAAGGAGGAGGATGCTGGTGTCCAGAATGTTCTTTTTCCTAGTGAGGAACCTCCACCTCTCCTGTTTGATCCGACAGCCCTAGACACAGACACCACAGTCACCACTGCGTCTCTGAAAGATGAGAACGCGGCTGGCTTCTGGGCGAGGTGGTTCGGGCCTTTGCGCTGCTCTCAGGCACTCCAGAAGGCTGCTTTCAGGCCTGAGAGTAAAGAGAAAAAGGCTTCGGATTGAGACTCAGTTCCTTTGCCTGCAACCACTCGTGTTTTTGAGTTCTTGCTTTTTAAAAAGTTCAGCACGCTTTCTTGATACTGCTTCATAGAGGAGTGGTAAAACTACATAAGGTATATTCTGACAGACAATTCTTTAACTCACAAAAACTGAAAGAATACTCTTAGTGGGAAACCAGGCAGCCTGTGACAGTCAGTGCTCTGGAAAGGACCAAAGTCACAGCCATAATTCTAGCCCCAGGGCAAGGTGAGGCTCTGCAGAGGAGTCGGCCTTCCTTTCGAGTCTCTCTCTCACAGGTAACGTTTGAGCTCACCTGTATGAAGGTATAGCAGCAGATTAGTAGACACTGGGTGACTTGTGAGGCAGTGGGCCAGGCAAGGCCCTTCCCTGATGTCTGAAGGGAATTCAAACTGTCCAGTCTTACAGAGGTGAAGAAAGCACCTGCGAGTAACAAGACGCCCGGAGTCATGAGTCTAAAACTTCTGCCTTCTTCAGAATAACCCGTCGTCCCTGTATCAGCAAACGTTTCTGAGTCTTGACACTCCACTGAGGACCTCCTGTGAAGCTGTCCTGAACATTAAGTGAATCACAAAGGCAAAGCTTTTGGAGAAATGCCAGTTGCACTGAAGTCAGCAGAGGGAAAGGGTATACTGTTGACCTTACCTAGAGGAAGTGCCACTGGCTTAACACTTGCCCTCTCCAAGTTACAATGCTGCAGAGGTAAAAGTCTAAAGCACTTAATATCCCTTGAGTATTCAGATGTTTAGATAAGGATGGACTAAAAAGCTTCAGGCTCCACCTAGAAATTTATAAAACCAGGAAATGTCTTATGGATATAAACTTTCATAAAGCCCCAGGGCTGGGTTTGGAAATACATGAATGTAATCCTAGCTACTTGGCAGGCAGAAACGGAGGATCGTGGTTGGAAGCCAACCAGGCAAAAAGTGAGACCCCCTCTCAATCAACATGCTGGCTATTGTGAAACATAGCTATAATCTCAGCAATGTGAGATTGCTGGGAGGTAGGAGGATTGTGGGGGTCTGAGGCTAGCCCTGAGCAAAAATGGGGGTGTGGTTCAAGTAGTTAACTGCTTACCTAGCAAGCATGAGGCCCTGAATTCAAACCTCTTTACCACCAAAAAAAATAAACATAAATAAATGACATAAAGTCCCCCTTATATTAGAACTAACCCTTATAGGTAGAAAGTACATTTAGGGAAAAAAAAATCCTACATTGCCCAGCTAGCTCTCAAGACTGGGACTTCCTTTGTGTTCATTCTTACCCTATGTGCTTTTTGGGAGTTACAATAAAACCCCCCAAAGAGCCTTCAGCTGTGTTTGGAGACAAGGGAAGGAGAAGCTGTCCACTCTGCTGGTCTGGGAGGAAAACTTACCTGATTGGATGTAATGCCCAGTGGTAAATGAGAGGGATCTGAGAGTGAGTTCTGGGGGAGAGAAAGAAAGAAGGCAGACTCCCTGCACAGTGGAGATTGAACAAACCAGTTACCATACAGTCCCTTAAGAGATACAGACAATGGCCGCTGAAGGGACACAAGACGACCAGAGATGAAGAGGGCAGAAAAGAGAAACAGAGGGAAAGGGGTGTGTATTAGGGAAGTGTGTGCATATGAGAAAGCTAGATCCTCATCCTCAGAGAAAGAAACCTAATACTTAACACTGAAACGTCACAAATGAGCATTCTGTACGATTTTTCAAATTAAAAACTAAAACGAAAAGCTGCGTCTGAGTAGGTATGAAGTGCTAAAGAGAGGGTGGCTAGGTTTTTCCTTGAACTGTGACTTAAAATCATATGAATGTGTAATCATTGAGGAATATCCTTTTTTGGGGGGATGGTACTGGGGTTTGAACTCAGGGCTTTGCACTTGTTAGGCAGGCACTCTAGCACTTGAGCCATGTTTCTAGCATAAAAAAAAATTTTTTTAAAGATTTTGTTTTCTAAGTATTTCCTTTTTTTTTTTTTGGCAGCACTGGAGTTTGAACTCAGTGCCTCACGCTTGCCAGGCAGGTGCTCTTACTGCTTGAGCCAGTCTGCCAGCCCCATGCTTTAATGAATGTTATAAAGTAAAGAAATTAAGCCTTCTCCTGAGATACCCAAGTCATCTTCATACCCACACTGTTGGATTCCAAAATCAGGGTCACAACACAGAACAGGTTAACGTTAGCATTGAAGACCACAAATTCGACAAAGAGGCCTTTTGTGCATCGGTCTAGCCAGTGTGTCTGATGAAGATGCTGTAGAACTCTGGGGAAGCAGAAGAGGGGACAGCCACTTACTTTCTCCATTCAGTGCTACAAAAGGGGAAAGCACCCCAGTGTTTCAGTGTCACTGTCACATACCAGGTAAGAAGCTACATTCCCCAATCTAGTTTTCTTATAAAATATCATGATTACTAATGCCCAAATTTTTATGATGTTAACCTGGACATAAGTTAAATAGTCTGTAAAAATGAAAAATTCAAACTGGATATGCTCATATATACCTGTAATTCCAGCACAAGGGAGGCTGAGGTGAAACAATCATGAGTTTGAGGTCAGCCTGGACTATAAACTACCTCAAAACACCAAACAAAACACCAGTTTTTGTTTTCAAAGTAGTATTTACACCAAGGATAAACAGGCAGGAAAATGTATTTGGCACTTAAGGTCTCAGGTAGAATTCATATGCTACGTCAATCATTTCTGTTTGGAACATTAAATGCTACTATTTACTAACAGCTAATCAGTTTTGAGAGGTGAAAGGAGTGTGAATGTTATCATTTGGTTGACATAATTGGTTTTGAGTAACTCCTTGCTGTAAATTTAAAGAGAGTAATTTTAATTTAGACTTTCCATTCATAACAACAAAAACTTGGACTGGCGAAATGGCTCAAGTGGTAGAGCACCTGCCTACTAAGCATGAGGCCCTGAGTTCAAACCTCAGCACCACCAAAAACAAAATGAAAACTCTGTAAGTCTCTGGTGATTTAATTTGGGTGTTTGAATTTTGGGTTGATACACATCCCAGTTCACAAAAGGCAATATTTCTTTCTTTCTTTTTTTTTGGTGGTACCACAGGCATTGAACTTAGGAACTAGCATTTGCTAGGCAGATGGTCTACCACTCCACCAGCTAGCCTAGTGTTTAAAATATAAAACTTGAAGAATAGTTTGTCTAAGCTAGGGTTCCCTGAGTTCAACTGCAGGAAAAAAAAAAAAGGAATGAGTTTTGACAAACTACCAAATCAAAACATACTGTAGTTCAAAACTGAACAAGGAATTTGTAAAGTAAAAGGTAGCGGAGAGAGGGGAAAGATGGAGGGGGTGAGTCTAAGATTATTGTAAGCACTTCTGTAAATGTCACAGTGTACCCCTATACAACTATAATATGCTAATAAAAATTAATTAACTAAAAGATCTGTGACCTTAGAAGTCTAAAATGGAAGTGTCTGCCAGCATCACAGTCAGCAGAGTAGGATTGCAGCAGCTGGTGAAGATGGGCACTGAATTCCCCACTCCTGCCAGCAGCGGGAACAAACCTCCTAGTCTTCTTGATGGGGCGCAGACTGGCTTACCTGGTCGCAGTGCTGGAGTTTCTTCCAAGTCTCGCAGCATAGCCTCCTCCTGAGTAAGTGGCAAACTCCCCTCGGATGGGAGAGCCACCCAGTGACTCCTGATTCTGATAATGCCAAATGCTGTCTGCTTTTGTGATGTTTGGATCAGGGGGACCCCAGCCGACCCCGTAGTTCTTTCTGTCCTCCTGGTTTTGGCCAGATGGCTTCACTCGTTCTTGGAGAGATACTGGGAATATGGCATTAGGCAGATGGCGAATCTGACGAAGCAGAACATTGCCCAAAAGAAAGGAATTCCCATCAGTAATAAATCCTAACAAGAAAGTAAGAGATTCAGTTAATAACATGACAAAGCTGCAACACTTTGACCACTAATTTTGAAAATATTTTTAGCAGTAGGAGCTAATTCAATTAGACAAGACATAGAAATAAGTGGTATAAAAGTTAAAAGGAGTGAAATCACAATTTGTAAATGAAATGTTTCATCTAGATAAAGAGGATCAGTGGAAAAGCTATTACTTACAAAAAGATAATTCAAAGGCTGGTGGTGTACATCTGTAAGTCTAGCTACTCAGGAGGCAGAAATCAGGAGGATCACAGTTTGAGACCAGCCAGAACAACAAAAAAGAAAGTTCTTGAGACCCCATCTCAACCAAGAAATGTTGGGTGTGGTGGCTTAGGCCTGTTATCCCAGCTCCATGAGAAGCATAAATAGGATCTTGGTCCAGGCTGGCCCCAGTGTAAATGTGAGACTCTACTGGTAAAATATGTACAGCAGAAAGGGCTGAGGGCTGTAGCTCAAGTGGGCTTGTCTGGCAAGTGCAAGGTCCTGAGTTCAAACCCCAGTACTGCTTTCCCCCCGCCAAAAAAAAAAAAGATGATTCAATAAGATGACTGGGATTAATAAACAAATCTGTAGCCTTCATATAGCCACACTATATTTGCTTAGAATATATGAGTAAATAAAGTACCTCATTTAAAATAGCAACACAAAACATAAAATGAACCTAACGAGATAGCAAAAATGATACGAGAAACAAGTATGACTAGTCCTGGAGGAAACAAATGAAGACAAAACAAGTAGAAGAGCATAGCATGTTCTCAGGTAGGAAGAGAATATCATAAAGGTATCGATTCCCTAAATTAATCTTTATGAGTTAGTCTCCATCTATATGAATATCTAAATCTACTTATAACATACATGTAAGCTCTCAATATACAATATATGCTCCTACAACTCAAAGCAGGCAAACAAAAACAAGCAGTGTAATAAAAAACAAGCAAGGTATCTTTGCCTTTGTTGTGGGCTGACATTCATTCATTCTTTTAGCAGCCACACATGTGTGCTCTCCTGTACCGGGCCTCATGCCAGGTGCCACAAACAGTGGATGCAAGGGAGCTCCTGACCACAGACAGCTCACCTTCAACGAGCAAACACAGGCAATAACCAAACAGGATTTCAGAAGTGGTAAGTTGAGCTAGGATGGAGGTGGGGATGCTGTTAATTTAGGTGGGTGATTAGAGAAAACTTCTTTGAGGAAGTGGCCTATGACAGACCCTACCCTAGTAAAGTTTGGAGGACATAATGCAGATACCACCCAGGGGAACATCAGCAAGCTCCAAGACTGCAAGTGAAGAGCATGCTTGATCTATTTAAAAGAAGCACAGAAGCTTAAGCAGCTGAGGTAGAGTGAGTGAGGGTGAGAGGAGGAAGACCTGAAGTAGCACTGAGAACCGGGCTGAGCAGGCTTTTCTAAGCTTTGCAGTGGATTTAGCATTCATTCTAAGTGTGATGAAACTCCACTGGGAGATTTTGAATAGAGGGGCAGCAGAGCTTTATGAATTAAAAATATAATATGGGGAAGAAGAAATGAAAAGGAAAAAGCAGGGGCAAGTTTTGCTTATGATGTGAAGGTGAAATAAGTACCTTAGTTTAGCTCTAACTTGCATTTCCCCTTATGAGTTCAGTTGTGAAGCCTTTCATGTACTTCATAGCCCCTTGTATTGCTTGAAAACACCCATTTTCACTGGGCTTTTGGGGACATGGGCAGACTCCCTTAAACTCTGCTAATAGGACTGTTTATTGGCACAATAACTAAGAAGAACAATCTGGCAATATCTTTCCAAATTAAAAAGTATATATACTTTGACCTACTAAGTCTTTTCCAGGGTAATTATCTTACAAATACCTTTGTACGCGTGTGGAATTAAGTGCTTACAAGGATATTAGTGGTGGTAGCATTAACATTAAGACACCAGAAATGATCTAAGTGTCTAGCAATAGGAGCTGGTTATATAAATCATGGCACATCCATGCAGTGGAATCATATATAGTGAGTGAATAAAACACAGTGGGGGACAGCTTTTACTATACTGATGGAAGAATCCAGGTAAATTAAGGGAAAAGCAAAATGCAGGTCAATGTTTATAGTTTTATATAATTTATTGCCAGGTATTACTTTTTCAAACACCCCTATATGACTCATGAAAATCTGGAGAAAGGCCAGCAGGCTTTTTCAAAATGGTTGCAACTCTGGGCAATCCCAGGATCTACGCCATGGGCCTTGTCTAAGCAGTTTGGTTAAAGACTGTTCACCCAGGGGCGAATGGGTTGAGAAAAGCTGGATAAACAGCACTGGGCTACATCAATTCTGAAAGCAGAGCTTTTTAGGAGTTGAAGAAGTAAACCATGTTAGTGTCAATTTTGACTGCTTTTTACCCCATGATGACTTGATTTTATTTCTTTGTCTACCTCCTGAGGTTTGCTGTTGCTGTTCTGTAGGATGTTCAGGATTCTGGTATCAACTCTGTAGTTCCAGTAGGTTAACAGAGATCCAGTTGTCCCCGTTAATAACAACACCGAACACCCAGCCAATACTCCATGCCAACACTGTTCTGAGCACTGGGGTCTATTGACCTTTTAATCTTCCTATCAGTCTTACAGGATAGGTATAGACAGGGGAAACTGAGGCACAAGATCACGCTGCTGGTAAGTAGAGAGACAAGACATGAACCTAGGCAGTGTGGCTCTCATTCTGCACTTTTTGACCTTGGTGCTGTACTATAGTCAAGGAGTCTAAGCAAGACGAGCTAACTGTGCTGGCTTAAAACTTTGCCACCCAGGGTTTGAGTCACTTTGATTTACACAGTATTTTATTCAGCATAGTTACATACTTCAAGTAGAAATGTACCCTGAACCTAAAACTGTTATCATCTAAAATCGAACTACAATCAATGTGCAATGAATAGGAAGGAGTTGCCATCTGTAAGAATTCTTCTACACATCAAGTATACATTTAAGAAAAAACTGAGGATGGACAGAATGGCTCGAGTGGTAGAGCTCCTACCTAGCAAGCATGAAGCCCTGAGTATGAAACCTCATACCACCAAAAACAGAAAAAAATTGTGAAAGTTTGCTTAGATGAACATATCTTTTAGATTCTTTTCAAGAACCTGGAAGATGTCTGAAATCTCATCATGCAGCCACTGATCCTGAGATAAATGAGTGTAACCATTTCCACAGTACAGCTCACTTAACAATATATAATTATACAGTGACAAAGCATTGGTAACTGGTGAAAAATATTGAACAAGAAGCGCTCCTTAAATTTTTAACCATTTCTCCAACACTGTCCAGGGCAAAGCATAGTAACTTCCCTTGTTGGTAAGGTTCTTCAAAATTGTATTATGTCCATTTTTTAACCATTAGCTCTTAGGAAGTGTCACAGCATCCTTCTCTTAGCAGGACACTCAGTGCATGTTTGTGGGACTGAACTGGATAACCATACAAGAAATTGCACAGACATAGTGACAAAGCTGGGAAAAACGGAACATCAGGCCAAAATACCATGTCATGTGGAGCCCTTTCCTGTTAGACCACATTCCTGGCTCTGTGCTCAGCTATGTGCAGCTGAGTTCCAAGGATCACTCCAGTCATTGTTCATGCTATAAGTGAATCAGTTATCACTCTTGTTTGTCAGCCTTTGTGACACCCCCAATTGGGGACCACCCCCATAGACCTGGTCACCATGAGTGAACAGTCATTTACTGAACCTTCTTAGATGAGTTCCAGGGAATAAGCCTTTGTAGTATCCACAGAGCTGTGGCCATATTGAAAAGACAGCTGCCCTTTCTCCAGCTTCTCATGGGTCATGATTTGGGGCACTGTGAGAAGTAACTGTACCCCCTATTTGCCCCAGAGCCATGTATTTACCTCTGTAATCTCCATACAGGTTAGGAAGGAGGGTGTGATTGGCCCAGGGGTAGAAATCCTTAAGAAGTTTGATTTCTGAAAAACGATGAGAAAAACTCTTCAAGATAGCTTGATGGAGGAAATACCTATTAGAGTTCTTTGAGGAGTAGACTGAAGTCATCAGCAGGATTAGGAAGAGGACTTGCACTAGTTTAGAAGAGAAAGAAATACAGTTGAGCAGTTAGCTTAGAAATCCTTTTTACCCTTCTCTTCATTTTTCCTAAGCCTATAGTTTCTTGCAGGTCAAAAACAGTCAAAAATTGGCAATTTTATATACTTCAAGCCAATAATTTCAAATATATATATACACATACATACACACAGAGGCAGATTTGTGTGTATATTTTTATGTATATACATATATTTCCTTCCTAGAATTATTCTGCCATTAATCAGAAATTTTACTTAAGATCCATAAAATCCCTCATAAAAACATTATATTTCAGTTATTAGAACTAAGTGCTCTCTTTCATTCTGGCTTTCTGTTGACTATGTATGTTCACAAGGAGGGAAGGCATGACAGAAAATAGAATTCAGTCCGGGGAATCCAATAATGTACTCAGTGTGTTGAAGCCAGTCACCCAGTGCTCAGAATAGGCGTTTTCCCAAAGCATTTTCTCATTTTTCCTGTAACCTGTAAAGTATATAGATCAGGTGGAGAATGTGACACATTGAAATCTGGAGACCCCAGTTTAGGACTGGTGGTGTGGCTCAAGCTGTAAGAGTGCCTGCCTAGTAAGCATGAGGCCCTGCGTTCAAACCCCAGTGGTGCCAAAAGAAAAAAAAAAAGAACTCCAGTTCAGGGGTCTTTACATTTACCATACCACCTTGATCACTTGAACCCCCAAATTTCACAAGGTGAAGAATTTAAAAGATATTTTTCCACCCTCTGTGTTCCCATTTTATCCTCATTTCTCTTTTCCCTCCAGGAAAATGTCCTGCAGAATCAGCATGGTGTTATTTCCCCTCTGTACCCAAAATATCAGCAGTCAGCTTGAAGAGTTTCTTTTTTTTCCAGGTTCTCCTTGGTCCTTTGGCTGAACTATCCATAGTGGGGGCTGTGTAGATCGGGTTATTCTTATCTCTTGAGCCAGGTGATGATGGTGAGCACTTTGCTGTCAAAAATTCAAATGCAGGCCAAAGAAATGTTAAATTTCATTAGTATTTGTCAAGCAGCTACTGTGAGTGACTCCTGTTGAATGCTGAAGATACAGAACAAAGATATCTAAGCCATACTTATCTATGGTGAGGGGCCCACCTTTAAAAACTAATCTACTGGGGTCCAAAACTTTTGTAAAATATAATAAAAATTAGTTACTAGCAAATGAGATAAAACAGGAAGTATGTAAACTATAAGCTCTGGGACTGAAGGTATAGCTCAGTGGGCAAGAGCTTGTCTAGCATGTGTGAGGCCCTGGGTTTGGTTCCTAGCAACACTAAGCAACAATTTACCCCTCTCACACTTTTTGAGACAGTCTTGCTATGTGGTCCATGCTGGCTTTGAACTCACAATCTTCATGCCTCAGTCTCTCAAGTGCTGGGATTATAGATATGAAATACCATGAGACAGGCTAAGGATTTTTTTATTTATTCACTTATTTTTTGGTGCCTCGTGCTTACCAGACAGGAAGGGAAGAAGAGGGAGAAAGAATTAGAGTATGACATAAAACTTGCCAGTATGTATGTGTCAAGCGACATGAGATTACTGAAGAATAAGCAAATCTTTCCAAAGGAAGTTGGAGCAGGCTTCACAGAGGAAGTGACATTGACCTCTTTTATCTGCCCTGTGTTGGGGATCAAACCCCAGGGCTTTGGGCATGATAGGCAAGTGCTCTACCGTGAAGTTATACCCCAGACCAACATGCGTTTTGAAGGGTGAGTCACAGTTTGTCAGATGGACAAGGGCAATGATAAGGGAAAAAGGTCACTTTAGACAGAGAAAACAATTCATAATGCATGGAGAAATGAAATAAGGGCAAGAAAGGCAGTTTAAAGTGAGTTAGTAATTTTTAAATCTCATAAGGACTGCAGTGCCCACTCTTTGGAGCATGTGCACTGAAACAAGAGATTGCCAGGTTCAAGTCTATTGCATACTCTCCACGATGGTGCCCCTTCTTTCCCTCAGAGAGGGAACCCTTCCCTGAATTTGTACTTAACATATAAATGTACAGAGGTGATACATGTGTATCCCCTGGTCCAGATGTGCAGTATTTTACACACTAAAATCTTGTGCTAATTTTTCCGCAGCTGGCATGGCCCAGCACTCATTCCTTGGATGCTATCAACAGTTTTACAGTCAGGGTCTTGGTGACTGAACATGGGGAGTAAGAGAGGAATTTAAGATTACTCTGATGTGCTTAACTAAAATGCAAAAATACAGAAAAGTGGTGATTTGTGGGGCAGAGAAATAGCTCATTTTGAGACATCCGCAATATTCAGATAGAGATGGGAAGCAGTTAGAAATAGCATCACGCCTGTAATCCTAGCTACTCAGGAAGCAGAGATCAGAAGGGTCACAGTTCAAAGCCAGCCTGGAGCAAATAGTTCACGAGACCCTATCTTGGAAAAAACTGATCACTCGCATATACACACACATAAAAGGGCTGGTGGAGTGGCTCAAGTGGTAGAGCACCTGAGGCCCTGAGTTCAAGCACCAGTGCCACCAAGAAAGAATGAAAGAATGAAAGGTGGCTAGAATTCCACTGTTTTGACACAATCTACTCTTGCAAATTTAGATAGTAGTAGGAATTATTTGGATTACCCCAAAGTGCCAAGATCCTCTTGGTTTGTTGTTCATTTTCTTTGTTAAGCCAGGGCATCCTGGTCACTACCAGTGAGAATAACAACGTGAAGAAGATCACCTAGACATGACAATCATGGGAGAATTCCATCAGCAGGTGTCACAGGACCCAGAACATGACATCGTGTATATAGGTGAGGGTGGGTACTAACAGTACATTTCAATTATATGCTCCTTTATTTTTATGAAAAACAGTCAACCAATTTCATGATCATTTTTGTACAATGATGGGGACCTGGAAGGGTCCCTACAGTCTAAATAATGTTAATGTTCACATCTTTCCTATAATTTTTAAGTTGGTTGGGTAGGGGAATTAAACAATTAAGTGATTTGTGTTGACTTGTTTAAGTCGTACAGTGACAACTCTGTATCCTTGGAAGGCCGTCAAAGGAGAGCTGGGCTGGAGAACCTAGATCTTTAAAAGTCCAAAGAATTAAATCTCAATTTAGCAAAGAAAAAAAAAAAAGACATGGAATCTTAGAATTGAGTAAGTCCTTAAGTATCTCTTCTCAAATTTCCAGGGAGGAGAGGAAATTCTATTCCAGAGAATAAGGATATGGTGATATTTCCAGCCTGTTGCCAAATTTCCCTTTCCCACATTTTCTCATTTGGAAGAATCAGTGCAGGTGACTGTTGTGTGGGTTTTGATGTTAAGAAACGATTGTGAGCAGGCACTGGTGGCTCACTCCTGTAATACCAGGTACTCAGGAGGATCCCAGTTCAAAGCCAGCCCAGGCAAATAGTTCATGAGACCTTATCTCAAAACCCATCACAAAAAAGGGTTGGAGGAGTGGCTTTTGTGCTAAGAGTGACTGCCTAGCAAGTGTGAGGCCCTGAGTTCCAACCCCAGTGCCACCAATAAAAAAAAAAGGTGACATTTCCCATCCCATGCTCTAAACTCCAATAAAAAACATTCACAAAAAGAAGAAATTGTTAATTTATTTACGTGTGGTAGTGGTTTTCTATTTATCTTTTTAAAAAGAAGAGTGTCTTTTAGAAATGTATAGACTAAAATATTTTTGGATAAAATTATATGAAGTCTGGCATTTTCTTTTCAAAATAGATGAAATGAGGCTGGCCTTCAGTTGGTGGTTGTTGAAGCTGGGTGACAGAACTTGAGGATTAATTATACTATTCTCTATACTTTCATGTGATTTAAAGTTTTCCTCAATGAAAAGTTTAAAATTTTTTTTTGGTGGGCCTGGGGTTTGACCACAGGGCTTCACGCTTGCAAAGCAGATACTCTACTGCTTGAGCCACACCTTCAGTCCATTTGCTCTGATTACTTTGGAGATGGGATCTCGAGCACTATTTGCCTGGGCTGGCCTCAAACCTCAATCCTCCTGATCTCAGTCTCCCAAGTAGCTAGGATTAGAAGCATGAGCCACTGGTGATCAGTTACGTGGCTTTTTAAGAAGTAATTTGTTGTTTGATTCTTTTGTTAGTTTACCAGTTCTTGTTACTTTTTTCCTATGATTAGTTTACTCATATCCCTAATAAATGTCACTCTGCCTCTTTATTAATTTACTATTAATTTGTCAAAGCAATTAGATATCTTGGATTGATACCCACACAGCTCAGTTTCTCAAATTTCCTGTAATTATGATGGTTCTTCCTGTTCCTTACATACCTTTACTGGCTGGCCGATGAAGATGTCTTGAAGCACTGATAATATCATTGAAACAGCCCAGCTGGTGGCTTGGTCTTTGTTCAATTCCAAGCTATAAAGTGCTGTAAAAAAAGCTGAGGCCAGACTAGTGATACCTACAAGGAGCCAGCAGATACATATCAGCAATTTGGGCAAACAAACAGAGGTGGGCTTCTCCTCTCCTGGGTTCAGAATGGGGAAACTGGTTGCCTCCCTGAAGAATGAAAGTCAAAGGAATAATCTCCTACTCAAAAGATGAGAGACAGTTAGAAACTTTACAGGTAATCACGAAAGCACAGTGTGGTACATTACCTTGCTGGCCCTTGCTCCATGGAAAGAATCTGTGTCTCCAGGAGTTCCTGGAGTTTTTGAAGTTGGTGAGCTGCTTCTAGGAAGTCACAAGGCTGGTGAACCCGGGCGAGATCTAAGTGAGATCTCAGCCTCTGCAGAACTCTGAGTAGGTAGCAGTAGAAATGATGGTGGTTTTCCAAAACCACTGAAAATATAGTTCAGGTTGACATGTTCACAAGTAGATTTCAATAAGCAGCAATCAGTGGTAGAGATTAGGAAATCACTGATGGCAAGGCTAAGTATTCCTAATACCGATGGAGACAGGACCCAGCACCTGCAGTACTACTGTCTTCTCTAAGGATGCTGGTCAACTCGTACCAATGGTAAAATTATTAATTTGATGTAGAGACTTCTAAAATCTCATTGAGCCTTTCTATCAGAATTTCAGTACATGCAGCCTACGCTACTAAGTGCCCAGGAAACTCAAAGTGTATTTGGGAATCTACAAACCATATAACTTCACCATCCTATAGAAGAAAAAGAATAACAAATTTCATCAGTCTTCAACAAAACAGATGGAAAATGGGAATCTGATACTGAGAATTTTTTTTTTGTCTCTTCCCTTGCACAGCAGATAGACTGTTTAGAAGACAAAGCTATCAGCTCTATATGAGAAGCTTGTAGAAGTTAGCATAGAGAGTTGCATCTTGACTGTTGGTTATGCTAAAGGAAAAAGGAGTAAGAACATGAAGCATGCAAGGGAGGGGAGGCAGACAGATTAGTTACTAAAATCTACTGGACTTTAATCCTCAGTACCAAAAAAAACCCAAAATCCCTCTTGTAAAATCTACTGGACTTTACCATTTGCCTGGTGGTATTCTGCCTGTTGGTAACAGCCTTGATCCTCTAATTGAGAATAAATGAGGCTGGATAAAAGCTTCACCAGCTTGTTAGTGTCACAAGAACTCCATAAAGATTGTTCACACTCTGAAATTAGGCATGTGTTTCTTCTGAGCAGGAATCCCACTGTTTCCTTTAATTCCTACATGTGGAACCAAGATGAGAAAAGTCATTTGGTTTTATGTTACCTCAGGACTGGGAGCAATCACAGTTGGTAAGGCTATTTCTCTTAGTCAGGGGGCATGGACTTCACGTAAAGAACCTCAAGGTTTCATTTCTTCCCTAAGTTATATGAAAGCCATCACATTTTTATGAGACACTATAGAATGAAAGAAAGGAATAGCTTGCACAGACATCAAAAATGAAAAGAGCTCATGCTGTCCTCATCATACCTAGTAACCAGGAGAGGAAGCTAGGGTACAACGGATCACAACCTGGGGCAGGAATTAGGGACAAGACATTAAGGGTGACAGGACCCTGTGAGCCTCCCTGGAGGCCCTTCCCATGGCTCCTTTCTGCTACATGGAGAAAGGGAGCATGTACCTTACCTGTAACACTCAGTGTGCTGTGTGGCTTACCTCAACTACCTTTGTGTGAGAGAGGGGCTCATGAGCAGCACCTGAGGGGCGGGAGGTCGGGGTGGGAGGGAGCAGGGGCAGAGTTTTCTGTGGTTGAATCAACAGGAACAGCCGCCCAATGAGAAGATGGACAGGGAGAAGGATGACAGCAGTCTGGAGGCTGATGAACACTTCTGACCGGGTCACAACAAAGGGGCCCACTGAAAGAAAATCATCCAGTCACCTTTCACCCTCCATCCTGAAAGTTACCCCAGAGTCATTTCTCTTCCACGTAACTATTTATTTAGACATTTGTCAAGGGATAAAAGAGTTTATGACAGTGAAGATCCCCAGGTGTCCCTGAGACGGCTTCATTTAATAATGAAGGAGAACAGTGAGAGAACTTGTCAAAGTAGACTAATGTCAGAGCAGTGAAAGAAAAATGAAGGCACACCATGATTCTCTTTTCCTTCCTCCCTCTTTCTTTTTTTGGGAGACATGGTCTCCCTACAAAGCCCAGGCTGGCCTGGAACTCTTGACCCTCCTGCCTCAGCCTGCCCAGTGTGGAAATTACAGATGGGCACCACCATCCCAAGCTATGATTCCGTTTCCAACCTTGAAAGTAAAGAGAGAAGAATCTAGTGGAGGCATTCTATCCTACAGACAGCACACACGAGGACACATCCATACCTTGCTCGTTCCTCTTGGCAGTGGTGCTGCTCATCTTCCAGAACATAACATTAATAAGCATGTCACAGAGAAGTAGCGTCACACAGCAAGTGAGCCGCTGGACTCTTGTAAACTGGTTCCAGGGATGTCGAGTTAAAACGGAGAGCCACAGATAGTCCTGGGTGAACTTTTCCACAATCATGGAGAAGAACACGTTTCTAAAAAAGATAAATTAGAAGAGGAAAGATGTGAGAGTTCATGCCATTTCATCCTAGACTAAGATGGGAACTGTTGGGCAAGAAGCTATACAGCAACAACTCAGCCTCCATTCAGCACCTCTATGGACAAGTTCTCAGATAGTATGATTGTTTCGGTATTTTAGGATAAAAGGTTTTCAAAGACAAGGATAGTTTACAATGTATGAGACTTTAAAACTAAAAACTAGTCTTACCAGGCATGGTGGCTCATGCCCGTAATCCTAGCTACTCAGGAGGCAGAGATCAGGAGAATTGTGGTTTGAAGCCAGCTGGGCAAATAGTTCATGAGACCCTATCTAAAAAAAACTCATTACAGAAAAGGGCTGGCGGAGTGGCTCGAGGTGTAGGCCCTGAGTTCAAGCCCCCGTACTACAAATCAAAAACAACAAAGAACTTGTCTTAGCATTATAAGAGTTTTGGTAAATCTTTTACTCTTTAAAAAATTGTTCTATTCCAAATGTGGAAGAACCATAAATAATATATAAAAAGAAAACCAAAAAGACTTGGCTGGGTTTAAAAACAATCTAAATATCTCTGAGGAAGGGATGTGGAATGAGAAAGTAATGAGTGAGGTAGAAGCCACAGGATTACTGAGCTCCAGATCTGGAAGACAGTATGTAGATGAGAGTTTGACTCCTGTAGGACAAACCAAAAATGTTTTGGGTTGGATTGGGGTGTAGCTCAGTGGCTGATCCCTTTCCTAGCAAGTGTGAGGTCCTGGGTTCCATCCTCAGCTTCAGAAAAAAAGTTTCTAGGGTGGAGAAAGGGAGGAAAAGTAAAAAAGAATTATGGTAGAATGATGGAGGGAGTGAATACAACTATGATATATTGTAAGAATTTTTGTAAATGCCACAATCTACTCCCAGTATAATACGATTAAAAAAAAAAAACCAAAGAAAATAATTACATTAAATTTTTTTCCCTCCCTCCCTCTCTCCCTTCCTTCCTTCCTTCTTTGGTACTCAGAGCCTCACAGAGTTTGAACTCAGAGCCTCACACTTGCTAGGCAGGTACTCTACCATTTGAGCTACTCTGTCAGGCCTTATGTTAAAATTTAGAACATCAAGAAGAAACCTGGCTTGCAAAACTGTCCTTATCTGACCTAACTGGGTATTAACCCAGTACAAAATACCTTTTCCCTGGGAGCATTATCAAAAATATTTGGAGGTGGTTGGGCAAAATGGCAGATTAAAAGTATTCATTGTTTGTGAATAAAAAGAGACAGATAACACAGGAGAGACTATATTCTGAAGAGAGAAAGAGAATCAGGAATCACAAAAGAGGCAGCAGGACAGAACAAGAACAAGGAAAACAGAGGTCAACAGAGAAAAACAGCAAACAGTTTCAACTCTTTCCCCAGATCCCCAGGAGAGCCAGATGACCCTGGTAACAGACTGGCAATTCTAGCAGCAGGATGAGTCTGTACCTCCTGCAAACCTTAAACCCAGTGTGGGGACTCAGTGAGACAGTGACTGCTCTGGTATGGAAGGCTAGCCTCTGTAAAGAAAGTCATTCTCTCACTCCCAGCAAGAAACCATCTTGAGAGAGGGCCTACTGTTTGAGGCCAAGGTACTCTGGGGCTTGAAAACAAAGAACAATCATAGCTCAGGGAGTCTCGGAACACCCTGCCATAGTGTCTGGGTGGGAGATGGCCACGGGAAGTGGTTGTGGAGAGGAAGAGGGTCTGGTGTGGTCCCACAAAGACGTTTAAGCATTGGGGAGCTTCAGCAGCAAAGGGCACAGTTGTTGCCCCACCCTCCTGACAAGTAGCAAATCTCATTTTGACCTGAGGGTCACAGTGAAAATAATGTACTGAGTCTGTGGCTGGCACAGTATTTGGCCTGTAAGGCCTGCCTCCAGGCTGTGTATGTTGGCTGCTAGGGGGTCTAAAGGTCCTGAACCCAGATCCTCCAAATCATAAAATATCCATAGCCTCCTCCCCACCACAAGGAGGTGAACTTCCAGGTAGGGTCTTAAAACACTAAGGCCTGCATCCCTATGTGTGTTTGCTGCTAAGTGGATCTGAGGGTCCCGATCCCAGACCCTCCAAATCATGTGAGATTCACAGCCTTCTACCCACCATAGGGAGGTGAATTGCTGGGTGGGGTCTAAAAGCATGGAGGCCCAGGACACGAAGCAGATTTGCTGCTAAGTGATGTAGACCTGTTTGCTTTCAGAATGTGAACTTGTCATCTGTGTCTAAGATTTCTAAGGAACTCCAAATCAGGTATTAAAGTTTGGGAATAGAGGAAGTGATTCCTTGCAGAGAGGACAAAAACACTTCCACATCCAGGAACTGCATCCCATCATGTGTTTGCTGCCAAGCAGGACAGAGCCCCCTGCATACAGACTCTCTGAATCACAGCACTTCACATCTTCCTCCTCACAGGGAGGTGAAGCACTGGATGGTGTCTACAAGCATTGAGATCAGCAGGTAGAGATGAGTTCTCCCCCAGCCAGTGCTCTGTCCCCCCAACTCTCTTGCACACTCAGGGGTAACATCTAGGCTTGGAACTTGCTGTCTCTGGGGCAGAAATTGGGGTGCTTGTGGAGCAAGTGGAAACCTGCCTGGCCCACTATAAAGGTACCTGTGGCCAGCAGCTGCTCCCAGTGTACAAAGTAGGGAAGCTTCTATAGTGAAAGCAGCAGACAACTGACCCCTCTACAAAGAGACTCCAGCTAGTTTTCCTCAAATTGAGCAATGCTGGGGGATCAAGCCCAGTGCCCTGAGCTAGTGGGCAAATTCTTGGCTCTGGAGATATACCTCCAGTCCAGTGGTGAGAAACAGCACTCAATCCTGCCTGAACATTGAGAATACGTCAACTGAAAGATGACAGGTGATTGAAACTTCCAACCAATGACTTGGCCTTAGATGCACAAATACCAATGTGGAAACAGAACAAACATGAAAAAACAAGGCAACATGACTCCTCTGAGACTCAACAATGCCACGGTAACAAACCTAACAATTGGGGAGTGAAATCTCAAAGAATTTTTTAAAAATGATTATAAGATATTAAAAAGGACACAAATAAATGCCTGAATTAATTCCAAGAAAACCCAAAGAGCTGAAATAAAAATAATTCAGAAACAGCATAGAAATTCTGGAAAAATATCAAATTGAAACTTTGGAAATGAAAAGTTCAACATGTCAAAAACCAAAAACCAAAAAACTTCAGTTGAAAGGCTCTCTACTAGGCTGGATCAAATTGAAGACAGCATTACAGCTTGAAGAAAAGGTAGATGTATTGAACATGCAGATGAAGACAGGAAAAAAAACTTAAAGAAGTATGAATGGAGCATGCAAAAATCTCTGTGATACCATTAAAAGAACAAACCTACAAATCATGGGCACAGAAGAATGAGGAGAGGTGTAAGCTAAAAGGTTAGAAAACATATTTAATAAGGTAATAGCAGAAAACTTCCCAAATCTTGAGAAAGAGATGGTCATCCAAGTATAGGAGGATTTTAGGACTTCAAACAGACAAGACCAGAAAAGAACTTCCCTCATGATATTATAGTTAAAATATTAGGCATACGGATCAAGGAAAGAATATTGAAATCTACAAGAGAGAAGGGCCAAGTCACCTGTAAAAGCAAATCCATCAGGATAACAGATTTCTTATCAGAAACTTTAAAAGCAAGGAGGGCATGGAGTGATGCATTTCAAGCCCTTAAAGAATATAACTGCCAACCTAGATTACTGTACCCAGTAAAGTTATTGATGGAGAATGCTAGAGGTGTGGCTCATGTGGCAGAAGGCCTGCCTAGCAAGCACACAGCCCTGAGTTCAAACCCAGTACCATAAAAAAAGGAACTAAAGAAAAGTAAATGAGAATGATGTCTCACCCAAAGAGAGAATCAATAATGAGACATAAATTATATTTAAAAAATAGAAACCTGGAGTTAAAAAATATAATTCAGTGAATTGAAAAATTTACTAGAGAGGCTTATCAGCTTATTTGAGCAGGCAGAAGAAAGTATCAGCAAAACTGAAAATCAGTTGAGATAATCTAGCCTGAGGAGCAGAAAGGGAAAAGAAGAAAAATGAACAGAGCTTCAGACACCTATAGAACACTATGACATGTACCAGCACAGCCATAACAAGTCCTAAGAGGAGAGAAGATATACAAAGAAGTAGAAAGATTATTTAAAGAAATAATGGTTGAAAAATCCCCAAATGTGATGAAAGGCACTACTTTGCACATCCCAGTACCTAAAAAGCTCTAGGTAGGATAAACTCAAGGAGAGCCTTACCCTTACACATCACCATAATCAAACTGTTGAGAATAATCAGAGAGACAGACAGAGACAGAATAAATGAGTCTTGAAAGCAGCAAGAAGTAAGCAACTCATCATGTACAAAGGCTCCTCAATATAACAGCTAATTTCCCACCAGAAATCATGGAAACCAGGGGCATTAGGCAAGAAGAAAGACTGTCAACCTAGATTTCTACATATAGCAAAAACTACCCATCAAAAATGGAGGAATTAAAACATTTCAAGATAAACAAAAACTGAAGGAACTTCTCCCTAGCAGACCTTCACTGCATGCTATACAGTGACTCCAGTCCCTATCAAGAAATAGCATTGGACTGGGGGCATGGCTCAAGTGATAGAGCATATGCTTTGCAAGTATGAATCCTGAATTCAAAGCCCAGTACTGCATTCCATGCCCCCCCACCCCAAAAAGGTGTTAATTATAATCCCCAGGACAGCTGATAAGAAAATAACTAAAATATATATATATATATATTAGTAAAATAAGTGATAAGGAAGTTAAAATGGTACATTGTAAGAGATCTATTTAACACAATATAAACTAGTGTTAGAGAAGTAGAGGTACAAAAAAGATATTCATTAGAAAACAAATAGCAAATTGCACACATAGACAATATCACTAGTTACACTATATATAAATGGGTTAAGCTTTTAAATGAAAAGGCAGAGATTTGTATAATGAGAAAAGACCTGATCCAACTATATTCTGTTGACAAGAAACATATTTATTTACTTATTTGTTTATTTATTTAATTTACTTTTGGTGGTGCTGGGGTTTGAACTCAGGGACTTGAGCTTGCCAGGTAGGTGCTCTACCACTTGAACCACATTCCAGCCTCTACCTTTTTTGCTTCAGTTATTTTATGGATAGAGTCTCATATTTTTGCCCATGGCCTGCCTGGATGTTGAACCTCCTACCTATGCTTCCTGTGCAGCTGGGGCCACAGGTCCATATTTGGCTTGTTGGTTGAGATGGGATCTTACTAACTTTTTACCCAGGTTGACCTTGAACTGCCGTCCTCCCAATCTCTGCCCCCTGAGTAGCTGGGATCATAATTTTGTGCCACAATACCTGGGGACAGGAGACATCCTTTATATTCAAAGACAAAATGAACTGAAATTAAAAGGATGTAGAAAATTCATTCAAACAGTGATTTACTTTTGTGGTTACTGGAGTTCAAATTCAGGGCCTCATATTTGCTAGGCAGGTGCTTGTACCAGTTGGGCCACTGCTACAGCCCTCAACAGTTATCAACAGAGATGGGGCAAGTATACTAATGTCAGACAAAATAGACTTTAAGACAGACTTTTTATTAGAAGGACATTTTAGAATGCTAAAGGATCAATTCTTCAAGAAGATAAATACATCTGTGTGCATTGTCTTCTTACAGCCAAATGGGAGTGTTGCTAGTCTACCAAGAAGTTCCCACTGTTTTCTGCTTAGGAACTGATTTACTGTTGGGCAGGCAGAACATAATAGATTATAATCCTTGAGTGTTAAGGGCGGAAAATGTAAGTAAAAATTCATGCCCAGCTAAAAACCTAAACTAGGAGTTAAAAGTTAAAAAAAAGTATATTTTCTGAACTAACAAAGAATTAAAAAGAGGTTACAAACAGTAAAGAAAAGAAACACCTGTCAATCTAACAAAAGGTAGAACGTAGATAAAAACAAAGAGAAAGGATTTTAACAAGTAACATAAGATAGCAGAAGTAAGTACCAATAGATTGGCAATGATAATTAATGTAAACACATCAAACTTAGGTTAAAATACAGAGGTAATTAACTACATTTTTTTTTTTAGTGGGACTGGGGTTTGAACTGGGGTTTGAGAGCTTGCAAAGCAGGCTCTTTACCACTTGAACCACACCTCCAGACCTGATTTATTTATTTTTGAGAAAAGATCTCACTATGTTACCCAGGTTGGTGGCAAACTCCTGAGTTCAAGTGATCCTCCTGCCTCAGTCTCCCGTGTGCTGGGATCCCAGTCATCATGCTTAGCTAGATCTGAATTTTAAAATATAGCTGCATATACGAGATACATGTCCATGTCAACAAAGTCATAAAAAAGAACAGACAGTAAAAAGATAAAAGATATACAATAGAAATATTAATGAAAGAAAGTTGACATACTATAATTAATATCATACAAAACATAACTGAAGACAAAAAACATTAGAGGAATAAAAAGAAAACCTACATAACAAAAAAGAAACAGGACTGGGCATGGCAGTTCACACTTGTAATCCCAGTACTTGGGAGGCTGAGGTCAGAGGATTGAGAGTTACAGGCCAGCTATATAGTGAGATCCTGTCTCAAAAAAAAGAAAAAAAGTTTGCATAGCAAAAACATCAAACATGCATTTAATTGCTCCTAATAAAACATTCTTAAGATGTGACTATATGAAAAATTTACGTAACTGAAAGGAAACTAACAAACCCAGTTCCCATTAGAAACCAAGATTAAATAGAACTAAACAATCACATTTCAACAATAAATATGAGTAAGTTTGATCTAATAAATATATCTATGCATGTGTTTTAAAACATTCCAGAACTGAGTCAAGCACAGGGAGGGAGAGATACTTACTCACTATTCCTTAAGTTTTCATAAAGGAAAAGAAATTTCTACCATTTATTTTAGACACAAGCAGCAAATAATAATTTAAAATATTTAGCTTTACAGAAGAAATCACCTACATTAAAAGACTCTACAGTCAGCACTCTTAAAAGCAGCACACAGGAGTTCCCTTTATTCTCTTCAACACTGGACATTATTAGACTGCTGTAAAATTTTACTCTCTTAAAAATACTTTTATTTTTAATTGACACAGAGTATCATTTTTGTTTTTGATATGCATATCCTTCAATTCAGAAATTCTCCTTCTAGACAGCTGGAGAATTTCCAGCACACACATAAGGACAGGTGAAGAATGTTCCCCGCACAGCAGCAAACCTGGTTGGTTGTCTTCAGAGCCATTTCTTTCCTCCTTCCTCTTTTCTAACAGAAACCTGATTTTCCAGTAACAGGCCGTCACATGGGTAAATCACCGCAGGGAGTCAATCGTGACTCTTCTAGCCACGATTAAATCTAGGGACGGGCTTCAGTTTGGGTCAAAGAAACGTAGGGGGAACCTATAGAACTTTGTTTTCACACATGTTAAACATGAGCTTCAGTACTGCTAACAGACACAGGCAAACTCAAACTGTATAGCTTTCACTATGGCAAAAAAATAACCAAAATAAAATTTATGTGGTTGTGGTCCTGGTGGCTTTAGCCTATAATCCTAACTACTTGGGAGGATAAGATCAGGAGGTTCGAGGCCAATCTGGTTAAATAGTTTGAGAGATTCCATCTCCAAAATAACCAGAGCAAAATGAACTGGAGCTGTGACTCAAGTAGTAGAGTGTGACTTTGTAAGTGTGAAACCCTGAGTTCAAATCCCAGTCCCACCACAAAAAAAAAAAATTCTTTGCCACTTCTCTCATTAAAAGGTGGGATCTATGTCCTTTCCCTTTGAATCTGATTTGCAAATTAGGTCATAAAAGACCACAACACTTCTATTTAGTTCTCTTGTATTGCCTACTCTGGGGGAAGTTGGTCACCAGATAAAACAGCCAGCTGTCCTGAGGCTGCCACCCTGGAGAGGCCCCACGAAGGTACCACACAGCTGATAGATCAGCGCCACCTGCTGACTATGTGTGCCAGCCATTTTGGATACTCCACACACTAGATTCTGCAGACCCAGCCAACATGAAGAAGCCCAACAGGCCACTGTCCAGTCATGTCCTTCCTAAATTTCTGACCCACAAAACCCAAAACAAAATGGTTATTTTAATGCACTGATCTGTTATATAGCAATAGTAACTGGAACTGTTCCTAGATTCTGCAGACCCAGCCAACATGAAGAAGCCCAACGGGCCACTGTCCAGTCATGTCCTTCCTAAATTTCTGACCCACAAAACCCAAAACAAAATGGTTATTTTAATGCACTGATCTGTTATATAGCAATAGTAACTGGAACTGTTCTTTTTTTTTTTTTTTCGGTCGGACTGGGGTTTGAACTCAGAACTTTATGCTTACAAAATAGGCACTCTACTTCTTAGCAGAGCCACACCTCCAGTCCATTTTCTTCTGGTTATTTTGGAGATGGGGGTTTCATGAACTATTTGCCTGAGCAGGTCTTGAACTATGATCCTCCTGATCTCAGCCTCCTAGGTAGCTAAGATTATAAGCATGAGTCACCTGTGCCTGGCTTGGAACTGTCCTTAATGAAGAAATAACAATTTCTTGCTTGTTTGGTAGTTCTGACTACCCTGTCACAAAAGAGGAGGAAAAGGAGACATTCAGGAGGAGAGATTAAGTACAGTTTTTAAAGAGACACAGGAGTTCCACCTTTCTGCCTTTAGGCAGTTTTATGGAAGAACATGTGCTTTTCAGTCACTTATTTTGTCCCTAGGAGGGAAAAGCAAAGAGCCTGATAGCACTGAACCAAAAACCTAATGGGAAGAAAAGGTACTAAGTAGCTGACTGAGGTTTATTCTTCTAAATGCTACATTAACATTCACTATAGAATGATTTTCCAGAAGTACCTAAAGGAAAAGAGCTCTCTCCTTGAGGCTGGCATGAAAACTTGATCACGCTCGAAGTCTCCTAGGTCCACAGCCAACCAGCAATTGCACAAGAAATGCCATTTCCTCTTAGCAGCCATGTCACTGACAATCACCTGGCTGACATACCTACAGTAAAACAAAGATCATTATGTTAGGAAAGTAGGCTTGAGGTGTAATCAGAAGTAATCTTGGGGTCTAGGTATGGTGGTACAACCCTATAATCCTAGTGGAGGAAGTGGAGGTAGGAGGATCATGATTCCAGGCTGGCCACAGGCAAAAGCATGGGACTGTATCTGAAAAATAACTAAAGTGTTAACCTTGAGTACAAATCCCCAATACTGAAAAAAAAAAAAGGAAATACTCTTGCATTTCCAGTGAGTGTCCCTCGTAAGTGGATTATTGCATTGCAAGGAAAGAAGGGAAAAAAGGCAATGTGTACCGCCTCTGCCTTCCCAGACAGCAGGCTGCAGACTTCTACCCCTAAGAAGAGCTCAGAGTATGTTCATTTTTAAACTGTCTTTGTTCTGTGTGTGATAACACCATCCACATGCCTCCTTCATCGCCAAGGGTGTAAATAGGGGCTGGGGAGTGGTCGTCAACATTTACACCAAGAACTTCTTACCCCATCTGAGTCTATGGCCACTTCCCTGGGCTTTTACCCTCTTCCCAGCCATAGTGTTTTACCCAATGTCTAACTTCACTAACTTCACCAACTTCACCTGTCCACGCACCTACCCTCCGGGCCACCTCATTGTTCATCTTGCAACTCATTGATTAACCTCCTCCCTTTCCTGCAGTGATGCTATTCCCCCAGAGTCTAAGTTTAATGAGTGAAACCACTTAAATGCCTCTGGTCAATAACCTCATTTTCACTAAAAATTATCTTGTGTGAGGACTATAATTTTTTGTGGTACTTGGATTTGAACTCAGGGCCTTGTGCTTGTTAGGCAGGTACTCTACTACTTAAGCAATGCCTCTATTCTGAGGACTATAAACTTGAAAATATTTCTGGGGACTCTTTTACTGAGGCGGCTTACAAAACCACAGGTAACTAAGATGTATTTGACTTAAACTTGTCAGTGGTTCTTGTGCTGTTAAAGCTTCTATTTAAGAGCAAAGTATAAAAGAAAACAGTCAAAATCAGCAAGGAGAAAATACTCACTTTCTTCTTGTTTTTTGGCTGTACTGAAGTTTGAACTCAGGGCTTGCATTTGCTAGACAGGTGCTCTGCCACTTAAGCCACGCCCCCTTCACCCTAACAGTCAGTTTCTGATTGGTGAAAAACTGGGCTTTTTATTCTTCCAGTGTAACTTTTATGCGCTTGTTGAGGAAAAAAAAAAAATCTGAGTGCTAGAAAAGCCTAATTGAGGCATTCACTATATTTAGCAGAAGCATATAAATGGAAGAGATTGTCATTTGCTAAAGAAAAAAAATTCATCTGCTTTTTTTTTTTTCTGTGACAGATATGTAACTCAGGCTGGCCTTGAACTTGGAATCCTCCTGCCTCCAACTCCTAAGTGCTAGGATTACAGGCAAGAATCACCACACCTGGCCTGAAGTGCCTTTTTTTTTTTTTTTTAAATGTGAGATAGCTCTGCTCGGCTGTGTTGTCCAAGTTTTCTGCATTAAAGCATATGCTACTCTTGCAATTAAAAAAAGAGAAATAGGCCAGGCATTGCTGGTACATGTAAGGCGGAGGCACAAGGATTGCAAGTTCAAGGCCAGTTTGGGCTACATACATAGTCCTTACCAAGAAGGGCTGCTGCCAGAATTGTCATGCCACAGCCGCAGGCTGTGCAGTTCCCCCAGCGAGGACGCAGTGCTGAGAAGGAAGACATCCAGTGCCCCGCGTTCAAAGACCGTCTTCTGTGCGTCACAAAGGTGATGAGGCTCACTTCGTCCCTCTGATCCATAGAGGGTGATAGCGACCTAAAATGTGACAAGGAAAGGTAAAATACTGGAAATTTCAACATGATTCAACATGATTTCAACAGAGAAAGATGAACGCTCTACTGAGATGAAGTCTTAGGTTCAGAAAGTGCTTCACGTTTACAGTTGAGCACTAGGAAATGCCATTGATGGCCCCCAGATAACAGCGGGTTAAAGCATTGCTCATGGCTGAAGAGCCAAACAAAGGCATGCATTGCACTAACCTTAGCTGTTGTGGCAGCGCTCCTTCGATACCCAGTGAAGACCTGAATAAGGTAGTGAAATTGAGAGCTGGGGTCATTATCAGCCAGGACAGTGACCTTCACCTGCAAGAGAAGCCAAGCCAATAAGCTTTCCAGTCTCCACTCAGTACAGCTGAGGAAGAGGATGCCAGGGAGGTGGTGGTAGCAAACATGCAAGCAAGCAGACCTAAAGGAAGTGACTGGTGGGAGTAAGGCCTGAAACTCCAGGTCCTGTGCCTCCAAAACAAAACATCCATAGGAATCAGTTGACCTGATCTTGGACCTCCAAATCCTTCCACCTCCCTTCTGCTCAGATAAGGGTACCAGATAACATAGAAGATACCCAGCTAAACTTGAGTTTCAAATAAACAGTGAACAATCTAAGGCATAATAAAGACATATTTACCATTTACTTGAAATGCAAATTAAACTAGGTGCCTTGTGTTTTTGTTTACTAAAGCTGACAACCTTTTGCCTAGGACAGCAAAGAAATAGATATTCTATGCATCTAGAATTTCCAAGTATAAGAAAAGGGTCCAGAGGTATAGCTCAGAGTAGAGCACTTTCCTAGCATGTGTGAGGCCTGGGATTTATTCCCCAACCTGAGAGAGAAAGAAGGAAATGAAAGAAAGAAAGAAGGAAGGAAGGAAGAAAAGGGAAGGAAAGGAAAGGAAAGGAAGGAAGATATAAACCAAGAAATTAAGAAGTTGCTAAGAATTCTTTTTTTTGTTTGTTTGTTTCTTTGAAAAAAAGATTCCTTACTGGTTTCCTGTATATTGTAATTAAATTAAATTAGAATCTGGCTTATAACTTTCATGTCTGGTATACAAAATAACATAAACCTGCATTAGATTTCAGTTAAGTTCTCTAGGTGTTTTCCTTTTGTTTTGGTGGTAGTACTGGGTATTGAACTCGGGGACTTGCACTTTAGAACTCTACCACTTGAGCCATGCCCCCAGTCCTTTCGCTTTTTTAGTTTATTTTCCAGATATGGTCTTGTACTTTTGCCAGGCTGACCTCAGACTGCTATCCTCCTACCTCTGCCAACCAAGTAGCTAGATTGCAGGCATGCACCATCACACCCAGCTTGTTTTTGGGATAGAATCTTGTGCTAACTTTTGCCCGAGCTGGTCTCAAACCTGATCCTCCTGTCTGTTGTATAGCTGGTATTACAGGTGTGTACTACTATGCCTGGCTCTAGGTGTTTTCTTTTGGTTCATTCCTAACCTAAATGGTCCATGTGAATCTAACCTTGGCTGGGGGGGGGGTCATATTAGAAAGGGTTAGAGAGAGAGATAAAGAGGGAGGGATAGACGGATGGAGAGGGGGAAAGAGAGACAGAAAGAGAGAAAGAGAGAGCGAGAGAGAGAGAGAGAGAGAGAGAGAGAGAGAGAGAGAGAAAGAGAAATTCTGGCTGGGGTTGTAACTTAGTGGTAGGGCATCTGCCTAGCAGGTAGGAGGCCTGTGTTCCTTCCCCAGAACTATTTTTAAAAAAGTTAAGTCTTTATATCTTAAGATAGCAGATATGAAGAAAAGTCCCACTTAAATTTTTTTAAAACATACACTGACAATGCATGCACATGTGAATAAATGAATCAAAAAATTTTTAAGAAGGATAAAAAAATACACTGACTTAATAGATGATAAATTTGGCATTTCAAGGCAGAAGAAAAAATATGCGTTATTTACTAAGTTATATTTGCTACTGGACAGCTATCTGGAAGATAGTAAAGTAAATCCATACCTCACACTTGACATCAAAATAAATTCCACATGAATCAACAATTTCAACAGAGAAAGAAGCCTGTAATAGACTTAGAACACATTTTTCTTAAAAATCTCTGAGTAGCAACCAGCAAAACCCCTTGTTCCTTCCTATTATTGCTTATACTCTCTCTACAACAAAATTAGAGATAAGGGCAAAATAGTTTCTGCTGGGTATTGAGGGGGGGGAGCAGGAGGGGGTGGAGTGGGTGGTAAGGGAGGGGGTGGGGGCAGGGGGGAGAAATGAACCAAGCCTTGTATGCACATATGAATAAAAAAAAAAAATCTCTGAGTAGCAAGCACCTTTAGAGATTTCTAAAATGCAGAAACCATAAAAGTCTAATAACTAAATACAAAAAACAAAAGCTACTTGGAAAAATCCACTATAAATAAAAAGAAAAGTGACAAAGTGTGAATGGACATTTGCAACTCACGTCACGAAGTACTAATGTGCTTTCTAACAAAGACAAAAAAAAAAGAATGACCTTCCAATAGGAAATCTGATCAAGACTACAAACCCACTCCATTCACAGGGAAGGAATCACAAAGGGTTCTTAAATAAATTTTAAAAAATGCTGACTTCACTCACGGTAAGAAAACTGCAAATTACAATATAAATGTATTTTTTAAAAGCTGCTCTAATAAGAAAATTAAAACGATTTCATAACGTGTTATCTCCCCATTTGAATTTCTGTGCTTCCTAGGACCATGCTTGTGCTTCTTCTCGTGAGGGTGGCTTTTCCCCATTTCCTTAAAGTACTTAAGACACTGTGGCAAAGCTTTTGGAATCCAAGTCACCTTCTGTGTATCCGCTTGATCCTTCCTCCATGCCCACACAACCAAGATCATATAGAACCCTAGAACACTGGCCAGCAGTGACACCCCAACAGGGTTTTTGGTCACATGAAGGAACAATTCGACTGTGTCTTCAATGTCCACTGTTCTGGGCACAACAAAGAAATCGCTGGCAAAGAAGGTGAGGTGGTTACAGAGGCACTGGGTCCTCAGAACTGTGCTCTGCTGCCCAACCTGGAACGACATGGAAGACGATGACTGCAATGGGTAGAGTGCTAAGAAAGGGACACGGGTGTGGGGGCGTTCTCACTCGCTGTTGATGGAAGTGGAAATTGGAATGGTCCACGTGGAAAGCAGGTTGACAACACCTCGTAAAACAGGAGAGTGTGGACTTCGAATCCTCTGATTCCTGTTCCGAATACATGTCCTAGGGGAACTCTGCACATTGCACAACAATACGTGAAAAAGAATGTCTCTGTCAGCCTTGATTATAAGCAAAAAAATGGAGAAACAACTGCCTTACAATAGCAGAATGCACAGATAAACAAGTAACGTATGTAAGAGGCAAACAGAGAGAATACTATGCAGTCATTAAAATGAATGAATTAGGCCTAGGATGTAGGTCAGTAGCAGAGCAGGTACTTAGTATGCATGAGGTCCTGGGTTCAATTTCTAGCAACCCACCCCCAGAAAAGGTAGCTGTATCAACAGGAATAAATGCTGAGTGAACAAAGCAAGCTGGAGATGTGACTATGGATGGAAAGACTAAAAGCATTCAACCCTACACCAATTGATCCATTGTCAGTCTCCTCTCCAAAACACAAGTCCATGAGGCTGTCCGGCCCATTGCTGTCTCTCTAGTTCCTAAACATGGGCACAACATGTAGAAGACACTCAATAAATACAACTCAAAGAGATGGATGCCCACACCAAGTTTGGGACAGTGGCTACCCCTGGGTGGAAGAGAGGGAATGAGATTAGGGAGGAATATACGGTGGGCTTCAATTGTTCCTGAGGTTTTATTATTTTAAAATCTGAATGAGGGCTGTGGAGTGGCTCAAGCAGGAAGAGCACCTGCCTAGCAAGTGTGAAGCCTGGAGTTCAAATCCCAGTGCCACCAAAACAAACGGAATGAGCAAAGTACTGACTCTGATAAAGCTGAGAGGTGCATTTAGTGTTTTTAAAATTATTCTTTATAACTTTGCATATGTTGTAACATTTCTCTATTATATATATATATATATATATATATATATATATATATATATATATATGTTTAACATATGCATTTTGGTAGTACTGGGGTTTGAACTTGGGACCTCACACTTGCAAGGCAGGTGCTCTACCTGCTTGAGCCCCTCCAGCAGCCCTCTTTGCAATATTAAATGTTAGTAGGAGAATAAATGGAAGCCACCAATCCTCATGTGATTTTGTAGAGAAAAGCCTAAAATATTGTCGCTATAACTGGTTTCTTTGTTCCATGGCCCAAGACAAAGGCCTGGGTACCACTCATCTCCTCTGCCCTTGAGAGAGCTCTCATCCTGAATGTGGCAGCTTGACTCCCTCGTTTCACAGAGTCCAAGCATTGCAGAGAGGAAGAGGTGGCAGTCCCCTGTGCCTCTGCCACCAATGGCTGCATGGGGGAGGAGAAGTACCCCCAGCCCTGGTACCCTGCACACGGCATGGTACCACTGAGGACCTGGATGAAAGGCAGAGTCTCAGGCTGCCTGGCACTTCCTGTGTCAGAATACCCATCGTAACAATCCAGGGGAGGATTTGCTTGAGAAGCAGCCACCCAGAAGTCACTGTGCGAGGCAAGAGTGATCTCAGAGACCCCTTCTCTGGCCTATTTCAACTTTGTCAAGATGGCTTCATGACTCCCAGGACTGTGCACTACTGTCTTTGTGCTACTGAACCAGGCCTTACAAGCCTGCTAAGGTACGGTGCCATTTTAAAGGGATCAGGCACCAGGAAGAAGGCCTTAGGGATAAAAGTGGTCATCTTTTTCCACCTGGCCTGGAACGTACAAGAATCTGCTAGCATATTTCTATGAAAAGTTCTCTTTAATTCCTTGCAAGTGTAAGCCTCTGAGTTTAATCTAGCATTACCCACCCCGCCAAGAACAAAGAAAAAGTTCTCTGCCTAGCAGGAACTTTGTTTCACTTTATCCACGACATATTTAGTATGTACAAGATTTCACAGCTTCCATATTGACATTTTTTGTGGTACTGGGGACTGAACCCAGGGCCTTGCATATGATAGGTAAGCGTTCTACCACTTGGGCTACACGCCCAGTTCTCTTCTTTTTATTTTGTTTTTGACATAGGATCTTACACTAACTTTGCCTTGGGCTGGCTTTGAACTCCTGTCTTCCTGCCTCAGCCCTCTGAGTAGCTGAGATCACAGGTGAATGCCACCTTGTTGACTTCCAATTCTGCTTTCTGTATTTCTTCTTTTTTTTTTTTTTTGGTGAGACTGGGGTTTGAACTCAGGACTTCACTCTTGCAAAGCAGGCACTCTACCACTTGAGAAATACCTCCAGTCTATTTTGCTCTGATTGTTTTGGAGATGGGTGTCTCGTAAACTATTTGCCTCATGCTGGCCTTGAAATGCAATCCTCCTGATCTCAGTCTCCCAAGGAGCTAGGATTACAGGTGTGAGCCACTGGTGCCTGGTCTCTGTATTTCACTGGGAACTGTCCGATTTGCCCGGGACTGTGTTGAGACAGGACTCACAGCTCCAAAGGGACATGTGCTCCCTGCTGGTCCCACACCCTCCTTTCTCCTGGGCTGATTTACTTCCCTCCTTACTACTGTTCTTTCTGGGCTGCCCCAACAAGGTAACAGGTGCACTGTATTCAATGATGGTTAAGGTGGAAGGGAGGCTTCCCTTCTTACCTGGCATCCATTACTCTTCCATGTCCTGTTGTGTTTGTCCCAGAAATAACACTGGGTGACAGCAGTTAGCACGGAGACCAGGGTGGGCATGGGCTGGGCATTGTCTGTGCTTTTACTCAACACGGCTGTGATGTAGTAGGTACCGATCCCGTACTGCAGACTCTCTGGAGTCAGCACCCAAGTGTACTCCTCATCTTAGGACAAAGAAGAATGCTGGCTGTATTATAAGTGGAACAAAAATCTGTGAGAACATTTCTACCAAGGGTGGATTATTATTATTATTCTACAAATGAGGAAATGATAAGCCCAGAATCACAAATGACTTGAAAGAAAATGACCAGTGACACGATCCTGAAGTCTGCATTACTCCTTTTCCAGTAAAGAATCACATTTTTTGGACAATGAATATTTAGGTCTAATGAATGGGAATGCACCATGAGTTTTGGAAAAATGAGATCATCACACATCTTAATTAGTAGAGGAAGGACCCAGGCAACACAGGAAACACAAGGACAAAGCAAGGATAGGAAGATGGTGGTTCCAGAGGCAGAGATCTGCACAGGCCTCAGGCTGGGCTTTGTCCCCAGAGCAGTTGAGGGTTAAGGCAAGTCCCTTTAGCTCTCTCTGGTCTCAAGTTTTTCTCATCTTTCAAACAAGGAAAGCCCTGGAAGGTTCCTTCCAGGTCTAAATGACATGATATTATTGCCAAGATCAGCAAGCAACTTGGTATGTACTTTCTGAGTTGGTTAAGGGCTGTGGGCAATGCAGACAAGATCTAGGGAGGGGCCCCCACAGTGGTGACAGATGCTGCCCCAGGTGGTTGGCTTAAAAGGAGGAGTAATTTTAAAAAATGATTCTTACCTGGTGATGGTAATCCCACCTGTAATCCTAGCTACTTGGGAGGCTAAAATCTGGAGGATTGCAAGTTGAGGCCAGCCCTGGCAAATAGTTTGAAAGACCTCATCTCCAAAATAGCCAGAGAAAGATGGACTAGAGGAGTGGCTCAAGTGATAGAATGCCTGCTTTGCAAGCATGAAGCTCTGAGTTCAAAACCCCAATCACACACACACACACACACACACACACACACACACACACACACACACACACACACACGAGATCCTTCCTGCTCTCATGAAGGCCAGAGAGCCAGAAAAGGTTCTTTCAACATGGGAAGACTGTAATGAAGGGAGACTTCAACATGCTTCACCCCTTCTGATTATTTTCCCCAACACTTTTTAAACACAAAAGGTGGCTCTTTAAAGACTTTTCAATACAACATTTAAAAGTTACACCCACGGGGCTTTTTTTTTTTTTTTTTAAATGTGGTTGCTAGGCAAATACTCTACCACTTGAACCATGTCCCAGCCTTTTTACTTTAGTTATTTTTCAGAAAGGGTCTCACCTTTGCCTGGGGGCCAGCCTTGGATGGCGATGCCTTCAGTGTAGCTGGGATTACAGGTGTGTACCATCTTGCCCACCCTCAGAGCATGCTTTTGATCAGGTATAGCCAGGCACTATTTATACAGCGCAGAGAAGTTTAACTATTCATATACGTTTAAAAAATTCTTAACTTTCTAAGGGATACTGTAGTCATCTGGTCTCATACTAAGACTTAAGGACATATATCTGAACCATAAATGAGTGTAAGACTAGAAATATACATTTCACATATAATCATCTACAAATGTAAGGTTTGAAATATGTTACCCACAGGGCTGGAACTTTATTTCAGTTGGCCTCACCGGTTTTATCTTCCATGCTAGGGATTGAACCCAGGGCCTTGTGAATGTTAAACGCGTGTTCTACAACTGATTTCGACCCCCGGCTCTGAACATTTTTATGACTATTTCAACCATACAGAAAGTTGGAAGAATTCTGCAGTGCACACCCAAAATACAATCACTAGATTCCACAATTAACATTTTATACAATTTTCTCTATCACACATATGTCTTTCTGTCCATCTCACAGTCCATCTTTTCTCGAAAATTCATTTCCTGGTCACATGAATTGACATATGATAAAATACATGGAAGTACATACACACGCACGTACAGGTGTGCACGTGCAGAAATGGATGCTTGTAAAGTTGGTGAAACCTGATTAAAGTCAGTGCATTGGGTCAAGTTCATTTCCCACTTGTGATCTTGTACCAGAGTTGGGAAGATGTTCCCATTAGGGGAACTGGGTGGGGCATAGGAGCACTCTGTTTTCTTTCTTACAATTGCGTGTGTGTCTGCAGAAAAAAAGAAAATGGGTTTCAAAGTCAGCTTTGTACATCTGGTCAGGGATTTACCTTTGTGACACAATTGACCCTTTGGAAGAGTAATGTTCAGGTGGAAGTGAGTGTGGCCTGGCTGGTCCTGGAAGCCCAGGTAGAGTGTCATTAGAAGGGGACTTTCAGGCTCAATGGTCACGATCAGGGATTTCTCCAAGGATGTGATGTTCACTGTGATTGTGAAACGGTTCATACTCGTGTTGAAGATGGTGGGATGGATGTCTACACTGGAGTTCCTCCAGAGCGTGATCTAGAAGAGGAGAAGCTTAAGAAGCCCATCCATCAATGCTTTTCGGTCTTCCATGTAGGGATAAGGTTGTGAACTTCTGGGTTTCTTTTTGCATATTAGTGGGTACCATATTGTCAGGGGTTAAGGAAGAACAGACACTCTGAGGCCTGAAACACCTCTTCCTAAGGGTGAGGAAAACCTCTTTGTAAAAGCTCCTGAGATGTTTGATAAAACAATGGCTCTTGCATAAATCTAAGGTCATGCACTGTTCTCCAGTATACCCTGTTCCCTTCTGCTCCACGTCCCAAGAAGAAATTCCTACCTCTATATCTTCCACTAAATCGTGGACTTGGAGCAACTCCTGATCAGAGCTTAGCAACACATTCCCAATGCTCCCAATGATGTGCCTGCTGTCAGAAGTCTTGAAGGGATTGAAAGCCAGGCCTGTTACCTACAGACAGAGGAAAGTCTGCTTCAGTGATGCCAAAATTCTTCTAAGTGACCCTGGACACATTACAAGGTATCACACATAAATTAAAGGACGGGCTTTCTCCCTGCTCGTATGTCATGCAGGATAATATTTTGCCTTTGTAACATCCATGAGAAACAATGAAAGATGAGTCCTATACTTGGGGCTCTCAGAAGCATTTTTTTAAAAACACATTGATACTGAGAGGATTGTATCGTACTATGAACTAAGTGTTCTGCTCTCCAGGGTAAAGCCACAATAACACCATTTGTGTTAGGTCATTGCTGAGAGAAATACAGCATACGAACTAGGTTGGTATAGGGAGCTGGTAATTATTCACGTATTTCCAGCTTTGTGAGTATGTGTGAGGGAGGAGTTGAGGTAGATTCAAACTCAGTTAAATTCAGACATCTGTGTAGTGTTCCCAACATCTACTTTTTTGTTGTTGTGGTAGTGCTGGGGCTTGAATCCAAGCATGGTACCACTTGAGCCACACCTCCAGCTCTTTGGTTCATATTTTGTTTCTGACATAGGGTTTCACTAACTTTACCCAGGCTGGCCTCAAACTCACGATTCTCCTGCCTCCACCTACAAAGTAGATGTGTGCCCACCATGTCCAGTTTATATTGGATCTTTTTTGTTTCTGGAGATAGGGTGTCTCTATGTAGTCCAGAGTGACCTCGAACTCAAGATCCTCATGCCTCAGCCTCCTGAGTACTGGGATTACAGGTGTGCACTACCATGCCTGGCTCTACACTGGATCATTTTAAGACGCTGGTGGAAGTAGTAGCATGCAGTCTTCTCTGATTCAGTCTAGTCTGGCCACATTTCATGTCACATTCCTTTCACCCCATGTCTTCCAAGCCATTCCTTCACACCCAGCAGATCCCATATCCATGCCTATTTGCGTCAATTGCACACTCACGTGGACCTTCACTCCTGGGTGCTTGTTCAAGAGTGCTTCCAAGGCTGAAGCTGATGGGAAACCTAACCTCATGGGTGCAGGGTCACCCAGAGTGTAAGAACTCAGAGGCAAAGTTGACATGTTTTGGCTAATGAAAAAGAAGAAAAATGCAAATCATTTTTTGTACATTCTTTAAGGGTCAAAAAACTGAAAACAACAGTTTTCCCAGTCCTCCCTCTTCTGTTAACCTGCTTAACATCAGAGCAGCAATGGAGGAGGTCAAAGTCACCGAAGACTCAGAATGTGGGTTCTGCTGCAGAAACGCTTCCTGGATCTTTCCGAGGGCCAGCAAGGCCAACTCCAGCAGGTCTTCCACCTGCAGAGAGGAAAACATATGCGACCTGGCTCTGTGCTTGAGAAGTAAGGTTTTAAGAGGGTTACAAGGGATTGTTAGAAGCGATACAGTAAAAGGTGACATTCTCTGGAACAGATCCTGGAGTAGCATAGGAAGCACTCCTTGTCTGGCTGAAACCCACCATTCCTTTTTTTGGGGTGGGGGGTCGTTCTAGGGTTTGATCTCAGGACCTTTTCCTTGGACGCAGGTGCTCTACCACTTTAGCCACATCCCCAACCCCGCCCATCCTCCTTTACACCAACTGAGTGCCCATCCAAGGAAATACTTCTTTGTTCCATGATATAGTTGCCTTGGACCTACTCATGATAGGTATTTAAAAAGCAGCTTTTAAACAACAGCTTTATTGAGACAAAATTCACACACAGAATTCAATGTTTCTAGTACACTCACAGGGTTATTAACCATCACTCAAAACTCATGTTTAACTCATTCTCCCTAAAATAAACCTGGTACCTATTAGCAGTCCCAATCCACTCCCCCACACCCATTTAGGCAACCACCAGTCTACTTTCTATGTCTGTAGAGTTGCATCTTCTGGAAATTTTACATAAATGAATCACAGTTGATGGGCTTTTGTGACTGGCTACTTTCACTTGGCATAATGTTTCAAGGTTCATCCATGTCGGAGCATGCTCAATCCATCATCCTTTTTTGTGGCTGAGTAACATCTCACTGTATGAATACAGAGTACCCTGTTTATCCATTTAGCAGGTCACGGACAGTGAGTCGGGTGGCTCACTTTTGGCTGTTTTCCTGTTTCAATGTGGCTGCTGGGAACAGGAGTGTGCATGCTTTTAAATGGACCTATGTTCCCAGTTCTCTTGTGTATATGCCAAGGAGTGGGATTGCCAGGCTACATGGCAATTCTATTTTTAACATTCTGAGGAACTGCCAAACTGTTTTCCCAAGTGGCTACATCATTTTACAGTCCAGCTCTGTATCCTTGACAATCCTTGCTGTTGGCCATCTTTTTTTTTTTTTTCTCTTTCTTTTTTTTTTTTTTTTTAGCAGTACTGAGGATTGAACTCAGGGCTTTGTGCTTGCCAGGCACATGTCTGCCACTTGAGCCACTCTGCCAGCCTTTTTTGCATTGGTTATTTTTGAGACAGGGTTTCACTTTATGCCTGGGAAGGCCTGATTCTCCTATTTATGCTTCTCTGCATAGCTGGGATAACATGCGTGTACCACCACACCCAGCCATTGTTTGAGATAGGGGGTCTTCTGAACTTTTCCCTCAAACTATGATACTCTCGATCTCTGCCTCCTAAGTAGTTAGGGTTACAGGCTTGAGCCACCACACTCAGCCTATTGTCCATGTCTTTGAAATGGTGTCTCTCTTTTGTTGTGTTGAGGCAGGGTCTTGCTATGTAGGCCAAGCTGGCCTTAACTTTTCCATTCTCTTGCCTCAGTCTCCCAGGTGCTGGAATTACAAGCGTGTACCACCATGCCTGGCTCATTTTAGTTTTGGTTTATATTTCCCTGATAAATAATGATGTTGAACCTCTCTTTCTCTCTCTGCTACATAGCTGAGGCTAGTGTAGGACTTACTATGTATCCCAGGCTGCCCTCAAACCTGCGATCCTCCTCTCTTAGACTCTCAAGTACTGAGATTATAGGTGTGTGTCACCATGCCAAGCTGTGTTGAACATCGTTTCAAGGGAACAGCAAATATAATTTATTGAGTGTCTACTATTTGCCAATGCTTTACTCAGTCCTTTTCACTGGGTCACTAACTGGACAGTCAGGAGTCCATGCCTATTGGGGGGGTAGAGAGAGAGACCCTTGAGCTGACTTGGCAGAGTTGTTTCTTCAGCAGTGTGTGCTCCAGCTGGATTCTCTTTAGAGGTCTGGGGAGAGACCACATGATCCCTGGATCTGCCAAGGTTAAAGTTTCTTTTTCTTTTTGTGTGTGTGCTTTTAAGGTTAAAGTTTCTGAATGGAGTTGGCCACCTGCATGTTCTGCACCTACCTGCTCGGTGTCCTGCTCAGTGGTCTGCCCAGTGTCCTGCTTGGTGTCCTGCTCTCTTTCTTTCTCATCCTTGATCCCACTGCTGAGGGAATGAAAGAGGCAAACAGCTGCAGGAGTCTTGAAGCCCACCTGGCTCTTGTTCTGAAATAGGAGCCTCAGCAACTTGTCCCTCAGGTCAATGAGCAAGCTGATCACACTGACCTGAGAATGTCAGAAAGCAAAAATACATCCCTGGACTGGTACGATTGTTTTAAATTTATTTGTGTCCTTCTTCTAAGCCACACAGTATTGCTCACAGAGTTCAAATACATTTTTATAAAAGGCAATATTACCACGTGGCAGGCATGGAAAATAGATGATTGCATGTCACCTGTAGGGAAGGATTAGAATTCTAGGAACTGACATATCTTTTTCAGTGGTAAGTAGGCTGGATATCCATGAACAAAACCAAGTTAAAAGAAAGGTGTTGACCGGATACCAGTGGCTCATGCCTGTAGTCCTAGCTACTTGGGAAGTTGTGATTGGGAGGATCGTGGTCAGCCTAGGCACATAGTTCATGAGACCCCATCTCTAAAACAACCAAAGCAAAATGGATTAGAGGTGTGGTTCAAGCAGTAGGGTTTCATGCTTATAAAGCAGGAGCTCTGAGTTCAAACCCCAGTCACACACACACACACACACAAAAGTAAACAGAAGAAAAAAAAATCTAAATGAATTCATGAGAGGCCAGGGCAAAATTGTGGATTGGTTTGTGCGAATGGGAAGGGTCGGTAACAGAGGAGAGACTGTATTTGATAGAAAGCGAGGGAGAACAGTGGGAATTGTGAACGAGGCAGCAGGACAACTGAAAAGCAGAGACACAGAAAGGGGACAGAGAAAAGCAGAAATCAGTCCCAGCCCCATCCCCAGCATACTCCCGGGGGTAGAGAGGCCAAACACAGGCCAAACACACAATTGCCAACTAACTAGAGGGCCCTGGTGACAGACTGGCTGTGCAGGCTAGTACCATCTCTCCCACAGCCTTAAACCCAATGTGGGGACTTGGTGAGATGGGAACAGCTCGTGAGTGCAAGGCTAACTTCAGCGAAGATGTTTTGTCACCCCCCTTATCTCGGAGAACTGTACTGAGGGACCATCTTGTGTGTGACTGAGGAGCAGGCACTCTACTGCTTGAACCACACCTTCAGTCCATTTTCTCTAGTTATTTTGGAGATGGGGGTGGGGTCCCATGAACTATTTGACCAGGCTAGCCTCGAACCTTGATCCTCCTGAACTCAACCTCCCAGGTAGCTAGGATTACAGGTGTGAGCCACTGGCACCAGCCCCAACAGTTTTATGATGCTAAATTCTGCACAGGGCACCAGTCTTCGGTTTCTGTTTTCCCTTTCTCCTGCGTGTTCCCTCCCAATTATCCTCTGCTCACCTGAGCTGGTGTAGGAAACCTTGGGCTGAAGTCCCTCAGTTTCTGGAGGACCTCACAGGCTTTCTCCAGGTCGCTGTGAGCTTGCGAAGCAGGACTAGCTCTACTGAAGTTCTCTACTGGCTTACCCGGGGTCTATTGGGAAGAAAGGATTTTGTTGAGATTGCTTTTATCTCGTTAACCTATGTTCCTAGTCTGATACATCATTTTAACCAGAGCTGCTTCTGATAACATTATCAACAGACTCTCCAGAAGAGGTCTAACTTTCAGAAGCTTCTCTGGAAATGGGTAGAGGTGATTTTCAACTCTTTCAAGAGAAGTTAAATAACAAGGTCATACAATGAGTGACCCAAGAGCACACAGGTCTGGAAAAGGATTTATAGGAGTTAGCTTATAGAGTGCTTGCCTAGTAGGTACAAGTCTCTGGGTTTGATTCCTCAGCATCATAAAGATAATTAGAAGAAAGGGAAAGGGCTGGTGGGCTGGCTCAGGTGGTAGAGCGCCTGCCTAGCAAGTGTGAGGCCCTGAGGTCAAATCCCAGTGCCAACAAAAAAAATTTAAAAAAAGAAGAATGTGCTTGTGTTCTGGACTGGAAGTATGGCTCATGTGGTAGAGCGCCTGCTTTGCAAGTGTGAAGTCCTGAGTTCAAATCCCCCCCAAAATAAAAAGTCCCTGGACAAAAGGGAAGTACTTGAAACGCTGCACTGTAGGAGGTGGGAGACAGAAGACCTCCCTAAAAAAGCAAACTGAGTAAATGGGCCAGACCCTCAAGCCTGCACGGCCTTTGATCAGGAAGTCCAGCCCTGAAAGGATCTCTCTACACCAGCACTCGGTCCATTTCTAGAGAACATACCTCTCCCAGCACCCACTGCGCACTGAACGGGAGCTGAGCAGTCAGGTGGGCCTTCACAGTTCAAATTGCAGTTGAGAAGCAATCTTGGACTTGAGGATCACCCAGTTTTGTTTGGAATTTGGGACTGAGTTGTCAATCAGCAGGAATGAAGGCTCGGTGAAATGCGGGAGCCTAACCACAGCTGGCAAAGGGAGGTCAGGCGTTCTGCTGCCGCTGTAGCCACAGGCAGGCAGGTCCTGGAGTTGCTGAATTTGGTGTTTTAGAACTGGACTCCTCACCTGGCTAATCAATGTGCATCGCACTCTTTGTTCAGTCTTTAAGAAATCACTTTAAAATTTTATAGCTGTCTCCAAAGAAGTTTTGCACATTTTTGGAAAGATTTCTAGGCACTTGCTCTTGGAGTATGGACACACACACACACACGTGTTATTTGAGACAAGGTTTCACTGTGTATCCCAGGATGGCCTCATATTTGAGATCCTCCCATCTCAGCCTCTCAAATGCTGGGATTACAGACATGTACCACCATGCCCTGCTGACATCTTTTTTTTTTTCTTTTTCATGTCAGAAGGGTAATGTGCCCACGTCGTAACAAGATTTGAGGGCGGCACATGTCACGCACAGGCATGAACACCCAATCATCATGCTCATGAACCAAAAAAAGTGACATCTTTTTTAAAATTGAATTTTCTGACGGTTGTAAATAGTAAAAACCCACAGCTTTGGTACATGGATCCAGTATTCAGCATCATTATGTTTTCTTAATATTTTTAATAATTTGCCTATATGCACTTTTGGATATTCTACACAAATGCACTCCGCTTAAGTGACTGCAGGTCAGTCTCCCCAGTAGAAAACAACTTTGAGACAGGAATGAGCCTTTAGTTCAGCATGGAAGTGGAAGCAGGGCAAATCAGATCACCCCAGCAGGGAAACTGCAGAGTGTAGAAGCACAGAGTTTGGCTTTTAGGTAGGAGGAGGCCAGGGCGGTGGCTTACACTGTGATCCAGCTTACTTGAGAGGTGGAAATCAAGAGGAGACTAGCCTGAGCAGAAAAATTTGTGAGACCCCCATCTCAACCAACAAGCCAGGTGTGGTGGTTCACATCTGTGATCCCAGCTATGTGAGGGGCCCCAGGTACTAGGACTGTGGTCTGAGTCTAGACCTGGGAAAAAGTGAGAGACCCTACTTGAAAAATAACTAAAGCAAAAAAGAACTGGGGTTGTGGCTCAAGTGGTAGAGGTGAGGCCCTGAGTTCAAACCCCAGAACCGCCAAAACAGTAACACAATAAGGCAGGTGTGGTGGCACTGTGTGTAATCCCAGCTACTTGGGAGGCAGAGGGAGGAGGAATGTGGTCTGAGGCCAGCCAGGCAAAAGCAAGAGACTTATCTGAAAAACTAAAAGGGATGTGGGACAAGTATGAGAGCACCTGCCAGCAAGGGCAAGGCCCTGACTCCAAGCACCAGGACCACCAAATGAATGAATAAACGAATGAATGAAAAGCAGGAGCGTGTTTTTCAGTCACACTGTCAAAGTCGCTCTGCAGCTTTCTCTAAGGTTGTTGTGGGGAGGAGAACAAGGTGAGGGTCGGCTGCTGCCTCTGACAAAGTGGGGATTGGTGGGGGTTGGGCACGGCTTCCTTCCAACCTGCAGCATCAAACACAGTGGCACTAAAGGAGAATAAACTGGTATGGATGGAAACAGCCCCAAACCCATCGCGGAACATTTTCTTGGAGTTGTTTTGATATTTTTGGTGGGACTGAGTTTTGAACTCAGGGCTTCATACTTGGCAAAGCAGGTACTCTATCCCTTGAGCCACACCTCCAGTCCACTTTGCTCTGGTTGTTTTTGAGATGGGGGGGTCTTACAAACTATCCCCCCTCCCAGGCTGGCCTCAAACTGTGATCCTCCTGATGTCAGCCTCCTAAGAGGCTAGGATTAGAGATGTGAGCCATGGTGCCTGGCTAACTTGTTTTGGTTTTGTTCCTAACTGGAACATAAGCTGACCTATCAGGCACTCTTAGGTGTTGTTCTTCTGGGAGGTACAGAATGGGCCAGGCTTCTTTCTACAGGACTCTTGAAATCTCACCATGATAGAGGGACAGTACATAAGTGCTTCTTCAGTGTCACAAAGACACACAGTGTGACCTCTGTGCTCTGTGTTGACTTACCTCATGAAACGTGCTGTGCCATGGCATTTGTGGGTGGGTAGTGGCGACACCTGGCTGTGAGTCATTTGGGCTTGAGGTGAGGTTTGTCACAGGTCTTCCAGCAGGTGTTGTGGCCACAGGCCTGGTGAGTGCTGTCACCTCAGGTTGCAGCGGGCTGTAGGGTGCAGATGGGACTGATGTTGCCTGCGGTGTGGTTTTTGGGATCACTGAAGCAGAAGGGCTGGTGGGATGGCACAAAGTCCTGAACTAAAAGATAAAAATACGGGAAAGGGTGAATCCGATTGGACCAAATTATGATTGAGGCAGACATTCCCACGCTGCTCTACAACTCCCGTGTCCTGGGAGGCTCTTTTTATTTTTTCATTTTTTTAGTGGTGCTGGGGATCAAACTTAGGGCCTTGTACATGCCAGGAAAGTGCTCTGCCTCTGAGCTACACCCCCAGCCCTTGATATTTTGGAACAAGGTTTCACTATGTAGCTCAGGCTGGTTTTGAACTCTCAATTCTCCTGCCTGTACTCTTTGAAAGATGGGATTACAGGCATATGCCACCCTGCCTGGCTGCTCAGAGAGTGTGACAGGTATTTCTGTCCAAAATGCCTGGTTCAAGCACCTCTGATAATCCTGCAGGCTCTATTACCCTTTAAAGCCCTCAATGTGCACTGTGGACAACACACTTAGGGTCAATCATTCAGCAAAGTCCTGCTGGACACCTACCCTGTGGGAGGCTGTGTTCTAGGGAACAGCAGGGAGCCAAGTCCCCCCCAGCATGGGGCCTCCATTCGAGTGGCAGAGACAATTTCTACCAGGTACTGAAAACAAGCTGTGAGGAAGAGAGCTGGGGTCAGTAGAGGAGGAGAAAGGCTGTTTCAGAGCAGTGCTCAGAGGTGAGGAGGGGCCATCCCGCTAATAGCCGAGCACAGGGAGAGAAAGCTCTGCCAACTGTCAGAGCAGGACATCTGAGGCAAAGGCCCTGAGGCCACAGCCTCAGTGTTTGAGGAAGAACAAGGAGGCCAGAAGAGCAGAGGGGGTGGGTTGTGGTGGGAGTGAGGGATGGGGCAGGGAGTGTGTCCTATGGCAGGCTGCGTTGAGAACGGACAGAAAAGGCACAAGAGCAGCAGCAGAGCAAGCCATGGGAGGCAAATGCAGAAGTGCAGATGGGAGAGGGTGACGCTTTGGGCCGGGGGGGTGACAGTGGTGAAGACGGTGAGGAGTGCTGAGAACCGAACCATGAAGGCCTTCATTTTCTTCCCTTCCAGCCACATTTCAAGGGCACTTTGCCATTATTCTACAAAAAATGCTGACATGAGGGTTTTTACCTCACCCTTGTTCACTTTTATATTGACAGAATACGTCCCCCACTTTGGCAGCACTGGAATTTGAACTCAGGGCCTTTCACTTGCTAGGCATGTGCTCAGCCACCTGAGTCACACCTCCAATCTTTTTTTGCTGTAGTTATTTTTCAGATAGGGTTTCTTTTTTGCTCAGGGCCAGCTCTGGAATGCAGTCCTCCTACCTACAGCCTCCCACATAGCTGGGACCACAGGCATGCACCACCATTAACGGGCTTGTTGGTTGAGATGGATTCCTTGCTAACTTTTTTGCCCTGGCTGATCTTGAATCACAATTTTTCCAATCTCTGCCTCCTGAGCAGGTGGGATTACAGGTGAGAGACACTGTGCTTGACTAGAAACACTGATTTCTGCAGCTAACACTTGATGAAATAAAAACTATATTTAAACACCAACCGAAAGGTTTCCATTTAGGATACAGACAGAAAGGCTCAGAAATTTTTGTAGATCACGCAGAGTTGCTCCCTGTTTTCCTTTTGCTCTGATTTCTCTCCTTTGCTTTTCCGATTTTTGAATTGTATTGCATTGTGTATATAAATAAAATGCCTTTTATATTCTATACACACATATATACTTGTGTGGTACTGGAGTTTGAACTCAGGGCTTCACACTTGCTAGGCAGGTGCTCTACCACTTGAGTCACACCCCCAACCGATTTTGTTCTGGTTGTTTTGGGAATAGGGTCTTTGCTTTTTGCCCTGGCCAGCCCAGACTGTGGTACTACTTTATACTTCTCAACATAGCTGGAATGAAGCGTGTGTGCCACCACCATACCCAGCTTTTTTCCATTGAGATGAAGTCTCATGAACTTTTTTGCCTGGGCTGGCCTGGAACTGCTCTCCTCCTGATGTTGGACTCCTGCACAGCTGGGGTGACAGGCACCTACCACTGTACCCAACTACTGATGGAGATGGGGTCTCCTGAACTTTTTGCCAGGGCTGGCCCTGAATCTCCATCCTCCTGATCTCAGCCTTCCAAGTAGCTGGGGTTAGAGGCTTGAGCCACTGTGCCTGGCACATTGTGTATATTTTTGAAATATACAGTCCTTTATGGACTATATCAGGAAATAATCAACAAATAAATGGCAGTTATGCCAGCACAAAAGCCCAAAAGTAGGCTTTAAAAGTTTCTTCAATAAAGTACTCATTAAAGCCAGTTCCTGGATTTGAGTATTTTCCTTACAGGAAAATCTACTCAGAGCACTCTGAGCCAAGGCTTCTGGCAGGATCTATTAGCCAGGAGGGAAAGTAGCATTGCAAAGGCGTCGCAAGTCAGCATACGTACAAGGTTCGCAGGGGCCTGCTGGTGGCACGTGTTTGGAAGTTGAGCAGCTCCTAGAGAGACAAGGCGGCAGGTTAGGCTCCTTATGGACAAATTGAAGTCATTTGGAAAGCGATCACTTCCCAGACTTGACCACGTTATCATTATTATTGCTTTCAGGCTCTTTCCACACTTCCCCTAAGAAAACCGTGGCCCACCAGTGCTACCGGCCTACTTGCTGCTGAGGCTGGGGCTTCTAGACTTGGCAACTGAGGTCCTCTCTCGTACCACTCCTAAGTCCCTGCTGCTGTTTGTGGACTGACATGTCTACTTCACAGCAAAATTAGTGCCTACGGCCACTGGGAGAGGACAAGCCCCAGATAAAGGTAACAGAGGGGAGAAAGGAAAAGAAAGATTCCAGAGCTGGTTTTGCCTTTTACTGTGAGTATGAAGTTTCGCGTGAATGACTTAACCTCTTGGTTTTCTCGTCTGGAAAATGAGTGCAATAATGTCTAAGAATGTGAGAATTAAAGTCGCGTACTGTAAATTTGGGTTTTTAACAGTAACATTTAGCTCCAAACAGCTTAGTATTAGAGTTTATATAAACCATCCCTCTGCTTTTTTTCCTAAAATATTCATGAAGAGAAGAAAACAAAGAGTCATTTTATTACGACCTCTGACTGACAGCTTAATTCTAGCATCTGGGAGTCATAAAGACTCTATCCAAACCCCAGTCAGGCTGCTCTAAGCCTCAGTCAACCTTGGCCCTGTCCTTGACAGACCTGCCTAGCCTATTTTTAGCAAGAACCTTCAGTTGGTTGAGCAAATGCTCTCTCCTTTCCCTTGGTATCTGACCACTCCCATATCTGATAAAAGTTCCCCATCCTCCTCCCTTGACAGCTGATCACCCCAGCCTGCCCACAGCAAGAATCCCGATTGGCTGGTGTAATGGATTTCCACCACTGTGACAAAATACCTGAGGCTGATAAACTTAAAGGAGGAAGAGGTCTGGGGAAGTGCTTGCCTAGTATGTGCAAAGGTCCTAAGGTCCACCCCCAGCATTGGGAGTGGGGATGGGTAAGGGTTTATTCTGGCTCATGATTTCAGTCCATGTTTACTTGGCCCTGTCATTTTGGGCCTGTGGCAAAGCAGATCATCATGGCGGGGAGGAAGCAGGTGGGTGGGGCCAGGGTCCCAGATCCCCTTCAACGGCACACCCCAGTGGCCTGCTTCCTCCAGGTGGGCCCTGCCTCCTAGAGTGTCCATCACCTCCCATTCATGCCAGTAGCTGAGGACCACGCCTTCAACACATGAGCCTTTGGGCTGTAACAGGTGCTTTGCCAAGAATCAGCCCTGCTTGAGGTCTCCTCTTTGTGATTTTGCACCCACCCCACACAGGTGCCTGGAACCTGCTCCATGGTTATGGAGTCCCATTTGCTCTTGTGTTCCAGGCTGAAGCTGAAGTCTCTCCTTTGTGTGACAGTCTTGACACTTATCACGATAGTCCTCAATGAAGCCTGTCTTACTGTTTTGGAAAATGTTGGTAATTTTTTTTTTTTCAGGAAGAACTGACACCAATTAAGATACAGATGGAAATGGACTATAAAAACCATGGGATTTCTCCCCTGGGATCTCCCAGTTTCACTTTGTGATCGGTCCCCTGGCAAATACCCGCTCTGTATTTATGCCTCAATTCAGATACCCAGGGCCCTTAACACAGCTGCATTTCCTCTTCTCCCACCCCAGATTCTACTCTACAGGAGTAGAGTCCTGCTGTCAGCACTTACCCGGCCCACGACCCCACTACTTGCTCCACCCGGGAAGCCCCTGATGACAGACAGCCCAGCAGACAAGGAGGAGGCAGCTGGGAGGTCCTGGGGTGTGGCACCCAGTGGAGTCATGGGGACACAGAAGGAACATCAGTAACAGCTAATGCTGAGAGCTGTAGTTTTTCTTACACGTTGGTTCAGAGCCCCAGATAAACCAGACTGCAGAGATTAGGGTCCTTCCGTTGCTGGTTTGTGGGGAAGGAAATGGGCCCTTTCCCTTCTGTTGCAGATCTGAAAAGGTTATGACCATTATGTAAGTTGATAGTCTACTGAATTAAGGGCAATTCAATTGCTTGGTTTACTGACAGACATTGTATTTGGACAAATGTTGCTTAAAAAACAAAACAAAACATAAAAGGGAACCTGTGACTATTATTCTGGAACCTGGGAGTCAAATCCAGGGGACTCAGAGGAAAAATCTCTGAAAATTATCAACCGAGGGGCGGGGGGAAGTCAAGAAGCTGTTTAACATTCTCAATGGGAACTAATTATTATTATTATTATTTTGAGACACAGTCTTGTTAAGTTGTTCAGACTGGCCTAGAACTCAAAATCCTTGTCTTTGCCTCCCAACTGACATAGGTGTGTACCCCTGTGCCTGGCTTAGAAACAAGAAATCTTTTTTATGCGTTTTTTGTTGCTGCTTGTTTTTAAGGCAGGGTCTTGCTATGTAGGTCAGGCTGATCTGGAATTCATGATCCTTCTGTCCCAACCTCCCAGGTAGCTGAGATTAGACGTGTGCTTCACCGTACCTGACTCAGAAATAGGAAATCTTAAGGTCCAACCAACAAAAGCTAACACCCACCCAAATGAGCTAAGTTAAAAAGGAAATAAATGGTATGAGATGATTTCAAGAAAACTAAAGTGCTACAGCAAAATTAAAATCCACATTGGCGGTAACACAGGACAGCTGTGAACAGGATGAATGTAAACAAAGAACAGGATGAATGTGAGGCGTTCTCTCATAACGCAGCAGTCAGGGTAGAAACTGCTCACCTGCAAGAATGATAGGGAAGCAGTGGAAGACAGTGATACGGCACACAGATTGCTGGTATTTTTGAAGGAAAAAACCAGAACAAAAGAAACAGAAGTGATAAGTAGGTAGGATAAAACTTTCTCGAGCCAAGAAAGATGTGTCTATGTAGTATCACATTCTTGGCAAAAACCAGTGAGAAGTAACCTCGGTACATGTTTAGAAAATTTCTGAATTGCAAGTATTAAAAAGCTTATACAAGCAATCTGGTAGTGAAAAAATGCTAGCTTTAGCTTTTCCCCCTATAGCATTATATGCCAAAAACATAAGGGAATGATGTCCACAGGGTTTTGAGGAGGTGACTGTGCCCAGAGTATTAGATCACTTTCTTTGTACATACTCCTAGTTATTCCCCATATATCCCTCCTTCCCTCTATGGGACATGCAGGACCCATCTCAGGTTTACATGTCCCAGGCTTCCTTGTAGCTGGACATAGTCATGTGATCAAGTTCTGGCCAATGGGATAGGAACAGAAATAATACAATTTCCAGGCTGTGCCCTTAGAAAAAGAATAAGACCTTCCATTCTCCCTTTTTTTCTTCCCATTTCCTGGAATTTGAACTTTGAGTGGGAGGCTAAAGCAGCTTTCAAAGACCATGAGATAGAGGTTCTGGATGACAACAGACGAAAGAAGGGCTTGGATCTCATAAACCCCAGCCATTAGCTCTGGACTGCTTAGACCATGTGAAAGAGAACAGAACTTGTGTCTTCTTTAAGCTGTCACTGTGGCCTTGGTTACAGAAACTGGTCCTGTATTTTACCTTGTACACCCTGCTAACATAGGACTCATCGAGAGGGAGCAAGAAAGACCTTTTCACTGTTCACAAGTTCCCGAAAAACATTTTTACTGATAGACCTTTCTTAAAAAGACAATTGGGGTGGAAGTGAGACAAAATCAGGAACTGAAGAAAAGTTATAGTATAAAATGATTCATTATAAGTACATAACCATTAAAGATAGAAATGAGTTCTAAATTATTGTTGAAAGTCTGGTTTCAATAAAACAAAAGTACTCTTAAGTCATAATAATAACCCGAATAAAACCCACAGGTTATACTAATGAAACCTTGGCCATAAGCGTGGGGAGGGAAAAACATGTGTGCCACTTTAATCAAATGAAGGCTTTTCAAGAGATATTTTTTCATTTCTAAGCCCGACAACTAGGAAATATAGGTATAAGAATGTGTTTTTAAAAACCACAACTCCTTAAAGGTAAGCAATTAAAACAAGATTATTGAGAACAAAATTCCAACCAAGATGGAAGAAAGTAATGAGGAAACACTAGAACCAGAAAGCCCAGAGCAAGGTAAGAAATGTATTTGCTATTAAAATGTCTTAAAATGCTACTAGAATAAAGATTATCAGAGGGAATAAAATAGATTCAGCTACATGAAATTTAGCACATTGAAACTGCCACAAAAAATTTTAAAGGCCACATAAATATAAGGCAACCCTCAAAATAAGGCACTCTCTTCTTTTCCCAATGAAAACATTTTACAGTCTTTTTGGGAACTTGTGTGTATAAACTTAAAGAATATAGATGACACAGGTAAATGTCTTCCTATTTAATGCAGTAATTTAGTTTTACAAGGGCATATTTAAAATCACATGCTATATGAAGTAATATGTTGATTTAGAAGCACTGCTCCCATAAAAGACATTTCATGACACACAACTTACTTCAGATGTTGATTTATCTTCAACATCATGGTTTTATGTATAATCAGTACAGATATTGAAATTACAGTCAGCCCTCTATGTCCTTGGGTTCTGTATCTATGGATTCAAACAGCTAAAGACTGAGAAGGTCTTGGGGATATATCTAAAAGACTGTGACATAGGTTACTCCAGAGGCACCTGCACACCCATGTTTATTGCAGCACTATTCACAATAGTCAAGTTATGGAAACAGCCAAGATGCCCCACTATTGACGAATGGATCAAGAAAATGTGGTATCTATACACAATGGAATTTTATGCAGCCATGAAGAAGAATGAAGTGTTATCATTCACTGGTAAATGGATGGAATTGGAGAACATCATTCTGAGTGAGGTTAGCCTGGCCCAAAAGACCAAAAATCATATGTTCTCCCTCATATGTGGACATTAGATCAAGGGCAAACACAACAAGGGGATTGGACTTTGATCACATGATAAAAGCGAGAGCACACAAGGGAGATATGAGGATAGGTAAGACATCTAAAAAATTAGTTAGCATTTGTTGCCCTCAGTGCAGAGAAACTAAAGCAGATACCTTAAAAGCAACTGAGGCCAATGGGAGAAGGGGACCAGGAACTAGAGAAAAGGTTAAATCGAGAATTATTAACCTAGAAGATAACACACATACACAGGAAATTAATGTGAGTCAACTCCCTGTATAGCTATCCTTATCTCAACTAGCAAAAACCCTTGTTCCTTCCTATTATTGCTTATATTCTTTTTTTTTCATTTTTCTTTTATTATTCATATGTGCATACAAGGCTTGGTTCATTTCTCCCCCCTGCCCCCACCCCCTCCCTTACCACCCACTCCGCCCCTCCCTCTCCCCCTCCTCAATACCCGGCAGAAACTATTTTGCCCTTATTTCTAATTTTGTTGTATACAGAGGATCTGTCATGAGCTATATGCAGCTACCAAGTCATTTTTATCTGAGGGACTCCATAGAACATCCACAGGTTTTTCTGTCTGTGGGAAGTCCTGGAACCAACGCCCACGGATACTGAGGGAAAACTATATTTACATTTGCCAAAATTATTTTTACTTCCACCTAATGCTATCACTAAACACTTTTTAGCTAAATCAAAAGTGCCCATTTCAAGGCATTTGGAAAAGGTTTTTGCCTTCTATACAGAATATATACACATTGTATACATACACACATGCATATATGTGTCTGTACACAAATACAAACACACACACACACACACACACACACACTCATGTCCCTGAACAACAGCACTTTCTAGTGTTCTCTTTTAGGTGACATTTAAAGGGCTCATTGACAAGGACTTCTGTTCACTCAGCAGTTGTAAGGTCACCCCTCCTCCCAGGAATAACCACTACATCCTCTGTAAATTTGTCTCTTTTTTTCTCCCCCGTCAAGTGATCTCTGTACTCATCCAACACCAATATCGATTGAAGTAATTTCAGGCTATTGCACCTTCTCCAAATAGTACTTGTTCTTCAGAATAAAAGAGAGAGAGAGAGAGAGAGAGAGAGAGAGAGAACACCGTAATTTGAAAGACTTGAAAGAACTTCACTAAGACTTTTTCTTTGGTGATGGAAAATTTTGTGTGGTGAAAAAATCCCTTGCCTTTCACCAGGGCCTATGCAAAAAAAAAAAAAAAAAGAGAAGGCAGCCAAAGGCATATGGAGGAAATAAGTATAGCCAGCCATGTGGTGCTTACCTGTAACCCCAGCACCCAGGAGGTTGAGGCAGTAGAATCAAGAGTTCCAGGTCAGACTGGGCTACATAGAGAGATCCTGTCTCAAAAACAACAGGAAGAAAAAAAAAGAACAGAAAGAAAAGAAGTTTATATAAAATGAAAGCAAAGATTGCAGTATCAATCCCAGTCAGACACAATGGAATGGACGTGAGGCTTCCTGGGTAAATGCTCTGACCCATTTTGGCATTAAGTCAGCCGTACACCCTTTGGGCAGGACTGGATGGCATGTTTTAGAGAAGGAACATGTTACCTGAGGTTGTTTTGCTTTCTTGTACTGTGACAACGTCCCTTTTTGTCTCCTTGGATCTCTCTGATGAGTGAGAATTATGTTCATTTCTCCCATAACTGGCACCTTGGTCTGCAAAGGCATCTGTGTAGGGACAAGGCAAGAGTTCACTTGTAGGTTACAGCTCTAGTTGGTAAGTCCGTAAAGTAAACATTGTAGATATTTAGGTGATAATTAGGAAAACAAATTGAGCATTAGTTTTTTTTTTTTCTTTTGTGGTAGTACTGGGGTTTGAACTCAGGGCCTTGGGCTTGCTACGCCTTCACTCTACCACTTGAACCACACCCCAGTCCTTTTTTGCTTTTGG